CGTAATATAGAGCATTAAGTCGTCCGAAATCAACCCTCAACAGAGGTGATGTTGATGTTTCACTCTGTAAAGGTTCAACGACAACTATGCCAGACCCACGAGGACGTGCAGAGGGCACGAGGGAGGACACGCGCCTCCCCACATCACCTTCATCGTCACCGTCATCTTCACCCATGATTCTCATTTGAAAAACAACAAGCGTGTGAGTATATAAATGTGTGAAATAAATAAATAAAACCATAAAACCATGATTCAGCCACTCGTCAAGACATAATTTTGTTCAAATCAGCTGTAAGTATTAATAGTATGTTAATTAATGGTGGTTTAAGTTGATACTATTCATAATATGTCCATTTTGTATCACTGAAGTAATATTAGTCAAATGCAATATCAGGTTATGCAGTTAAAGCACATTTTTATCATTCATTTAGTAAATAACTTCTAATACAATTTGACTGCATTGTCTTGTAACTAAGTACGTGCATAATGAATTAAGGTGTTATATTTAGTTTTATTTTGTGAAGACAATTCTTACCTTTTTAATAACCTTTTTTCTTTGGGAAAATATTCCCTCTTAAATAGAGAATAAATACGGAATAAAGAAGTAAGGCCAGTTATTGTTAGAATGACGTGAAACATAAATGTATGACCGTGTTTGGAAGGAATTTGAGTCGCTGGTGGCTAAATTAATAATCACGTCAGTTGTTTAAAATCAGATTTGAGGTTATTCGTGTTTAGATTGATAATATCCGTTTAGAAGTTGTTCAGATTTAAATATCTTCATTTGAACGTTCTTAATGTTGGCATGCAGCCGGTCAGCTGTTTTGGAAACAAATCAAACAAAAGCTCAGAATGTAAAACTGTACAGACAAAAACAGATCACGTGATAATATGTAAATCTCTTGTAGAACTGCAGCGTCCAACAGGGAGAAGCTCCAGAAATCCAACAAAGCCTTCAACTCGCTTAGTTTTTACAAGATCCCAAATCAGCCACAATAATAGAAAATACTTGTCCCAAATTTAACAAGATTTGTTCAAAGAAAGAGCACAAACTGCTCGACGAGGCGGCGCAACATCAAACTAAAGCGCGTCAGACACCTTTTATTTTTTTTAGAAAAAAAGCAATCAGGCAAAACAGTAAAAAACAAACATATAAAACAATCTCTAAATAAGGGGCGCATAGATGTGGCATAGTAATTATATAAGGAATGTCGTGTCCCAGCGTTAACATGCGGCATGTACGACCACCACCATCATCATCTCCGCCATCATCATCATCATCACCATCATCATCATCATCATCATCAGAGTGCAGCCGAAAGCCCCCCTGATTACCGCAAGGCTCGAAAGGCCTAAACCTGCAGTCACATGGCGTTTGCACGTTTTGGCGTACATTTTAGCGGCTTTGTTTGGCTCTGCGGCATCTCACGGGTTAAACGCGCAGAGCAGTTACTGAACCGCACACGAGAAAAGAAGAAGATGAGGCTTTGTATCATTATTATTAAGAATCGTCTTCCACTTTGCGCGGATGTGCGCGCGTCGGACCGGCGCGTTAATCGCAGGCGTATCAGAAACATGGTGCCTCTTACCTTTGTTGATAATCCATCATTTCCTGTGTGTGTGCCACTCCGCAGAAGAGACTCCTCGCGCCTCCTATACACCCCCCCCCCCTCTCCCTCCCCCTCCCTGAGAAAAAAAACGTCCCATTTTCTTCAAGTGATTTCATGGAAGTAATCCCAGCATCCAGGAGTGTGATGATCCTTCATTTTCACGAGCACGTAGCCAAAAAACAAGTGGAGCCACGCACAGTACGGCGCGTGCAGCGGAGAAGCATCGCGCGCGGACGCTCCATCCCTTCAATATTTCGGGGACCAAAACAAATGGACCCGTGCAGCCTCGATAATAACAACAACAAAAACAACAACAACAACCTGCGTGTTGCATAAGCAAAGAGCCGAGGAAAATGGCTCGTGTTGGTAGTGTTAAGTGAACGAGCAGTAGCAGATATAACCTCATGGGAAATAAGTTCACATTCCTGCGGACCACGTGACGAACGGCCGCCAATCATTGAGCAGAGTGAGTCGTAAACTTTCACGGCAAAGTTGTAAATTTTCATAAACAGCTGCCGTTTTTTTTTGTTCCTTAAGACGTTGCTTTTCTCGTCACGATCTTTATTGTTGGAGATGATTCGGGGGTTCGACGCAGGACGAAAATCAGGTGTTAAAGACGCTAAATGTAAGGTGTATTTCGTGAGATTTGGTTTCGGATGCGCACTTGGTTCCTGTTCCATCCTTCAAAAAAAAGGTGTGTGCAGCTTCTTATTGTTCTCTGAAAAACAGCGTTAGTGGGACCCGGTTTATTCATATCTTTAATCTGAGATTATTAGATGATGTTCAGTGCTCCTTAATCCTCGTGACCTCGTCAGACGTTTCGTACTTAAATAAGCGTACTATCTCAAACACGGAATGTTGGTCGGATTTTTTGCTTATATAAAAATGGTCTCAGGCTAAAAATTAAAGACTTTTTCGTTAAAGACTATTATGATCCTTCTAAATGGAGGTTTTCCAGCCTCTGCAGATCCATTTAGCTTTAACCTCACAGGCCAAAGATTGAAATGGAGTTCGACTAATTGGAGTCCCGAGGGGGATTTTAAAGTAACGAAAAATAAAAACTGCACACTCTTCGCCAACATTTATTTCGATTATCAGGCAAAAATAAGGCCCTGTCTTAAAGTAATGCAGCCATTCGTTAAAACTGGTATTTATCCTCATTGGTATTGTTTCTAAATCTCTTATTTCCGTTTTGTCTCGTTTAAAAAAAGAGTATTTTTTAGTTGACATCTGGACAACGAGAATTTCCGACTTTTATTGATGCAATAAAACCATAAATTCCTGAAATGCAACTCTTTCATCCTCCGCTTTTTTTTTACCTCGGAGATGCAAACTTTGATTGCTGTTTCCCTCCAAATGTTATAGTTGGGGATTGAAAAGAGGTTTAGGATTAGGTTTGAGTTGGAATTCCAAAATAAAATCCTAAAATAAAACAGTTTCCCTCCATCTCTGAATCTTTTTTATAAGGTACAAAACCCCCTTCATGTCACAATAATAACGGATCAATATTTGTGTTTTGAGTTTGATGTTAGATTTGAGTTTCTGGGAAACATGTAATGTGTTATTGTAATTTCATTTAAAAAATGAAGGACTTTTCTTCTGAAATATTTGTATTAAAATATCTTTCGACTCAATTTTTTGGTGATTTGAATTTGTATGTTTTAAACACATTAGACACGAAAAGATTCTTCTCATACACAATTGTGATTTTACGACAAATCAACACAAGTTACATTAAAACTTTATATTTTCCGAGGAGAGAGCAGTTTGAGTTGTTTTGGCAAATTTTGTAACTTTTGATCAGAAGAACCCGGATGCAGAGATGTTGTAAAACTTTATGGCCTCTTTGTCTCACCAAAGTGAATCCACACAGAGAGGAGCAACTTATTTTCAAACATGAATTACGAACTTTCTACAGAAGGGTAGATTATGTAACAACACAGTAATAATAAACAAAAAGGTTTTTTCAAGCAACCATAACAAATAATAATAAATGATAAAGCTAAATATGCTAAATAAGCCTTAAAAAGCCCCCGAATCAGTTTTCTTGTATAATTAAATTTAAAAAATCAGATTAAAAAAATAAAAATATATTTTGTTTAACCTCACTGCAAAGTAAAAGAAAGAAAATATTTATAATACTTGACTCAAATTCCTGTGAGAAAAGAGACAAAAGGCCCTTATTTTTTGATTCCTCAGTTTCTTTTCAAATAGGGTTTAAATCAGAACTAATAATACTTTAATATTCATGAAGTTATATGAGTGAGTTTATGATATTTCCTGGAGAGGATTTGATTTACACAACTCAAAGGGTTAAAGCAGACTTGTCTGACTTTATTTTGGCACTGTAGGTAAGGTTTGTTTGAGATGATTCATCCCTGCAGAGCAAATACACATATGTGAGCACAAACACACAGCGGGTTAAAATAACCATAGTGGTTTTTTTTCCCTGCAGGCTGGAGGTCATAAAAGTGGCAAGCAGTAAACTGCATGAGTCCAGATATAAAAATCTATCAAAGATGAGACTCCTCGAATCGGCACGGTGTGTTTTCTTTAAGTTCACAGCTTAAGACCTCTCCACCTCCAGATCTCCTCTGCGTCTGCAGCTCACTGGCCTTTATCCTGCTGCTGCTGGGTGGGGGGAGCTCTGCGGGAGGAGCTGCGGCCCATGTGAGAGAAGCCAGGCCTCCTGAACAGGGGGGCTGGCTTGGAAATAACGAGCAGGCCCTGCAGGACCGCGGGGTCGTGGGACCGCGGGCCACAGCGCGGGCCTCCTCTGGGCAGGTGGTGGAGGATGGGGATGCTGGGGTGTGACCGGGGGTCCGGGTAGGAGCTGCTCCTGGTGTCCTGCTGCAGGGCAGGGGGGCCGTGGACTGAGGGGGAAACGAGACACAAACCACAAGGGAGTTTAACTATGAGAATATCAATAGGAACATTAGAAAACATAGAAAATGCCAAAAGGCTTTTAATTGTTCTGCTTGTTTTTTGTTCATTTAAAATCTCAAACATTAGATCCTGTCTGAAATAATAATAATAATAAACAACAATCCAAATGAATTATCAAAGTTGAATTACGTTGATATTTGCAGTATGAGAAGAAGAAAGAAGTCAAATTGCGGATTCCTGATTTTTGGTTTAATACAAATATACAGGCAAACGCAAAACCGCTTAATGGTGGTTGTGAAGTTGAGAAAAGCCGAACGCAGCTGGTAGTCATAACTCAAAGACAGAGAGGCGTAGCTCCCGGGCCAGTAGTGTGTTCACCTGCCCAGTGAGTCCGCTGGACTCCAAAGGTCCTGCTGTGGCCCTCAAGCTCAGACAGGTTCCTCTTGTCCATCGTGGCTCTCAGCAGGCGCTGAGTCATGCGGGAGTGGATATGCTGCAACGAAGCAGATTGAATTATTAATTACGCGGTAATATAGATCGGCCACAGTCACTGTTTTTTTAAAATAGTAACAATGTTTCAAATAAAATACAAACATGGATTTCTATAATTTCTGAACTTTTAAAACCTGATTTCATTTAAAATAAAATTCATGGATTTCTGTACATAATCATTTGCTTGTTTTAGTTTATCCATCCATCCATCCATCCATCCATTGTCAGACCGCTTATCCTGCACACAGGGTCGCGGGGGGGCTGGAGTCCATCCCAGCCAACTTCGGGCGATAGACAGGGTACATCCTGGATTGGTCGCCAGCCAATCGCAGGGCCACACAGAGACATACAACCATTCACACTCACATTCACACAACTACGGGCAATTTAAAGTCCCCAATTAACCTGATCCCCAGAGCATGTCTTTGGACTGTGGGAGGAAGCCGGAGGACCCGGAGAGAACCCACGCAGACACGGGGAGAACATGCAGACTCCACACAGAAAGGCCACTGGGCGGAATCGAACCCAGGACCTTCTTGCTGTGAGGCAACAGTGCTAACCACCACGCCACCGTGCCGCCCTGTTTTAGTTTATATGACAATAAATTGTTTTGGGGTTTTTTGTTGCTTTTTTTCGGTCCATAAATACAAGCAAACTGAAGACATTTCAAATGAATGCACTGATCCCTCTTTTCTATTTCTAAAAGGGCCGTAAACCTCTCCCTTTTGATTTCAGTGAATAAACCAGTCAATCTATACAGGCCTGGTTTGATCTGTGTGGTCCCGTGTCATACCTCCAGGGAGTGCTGCTGCTTCCGCCGTCTTCCTTGGTAGAACTCAGTCAAAGAGTCCAACTGAAATGAAAAGACAAAGACGACCGGAGGCCGAAGCACCTGAAATGATCAATTGACTGACAACAAACAGGTGGACAATGCCACCACTACAAAGCCGGAGTGAGCTGCGGTTGTGAATGTGTCCATTCCAAGCACAACGTCGTACCTGCCGTGTCTGATGGGCCCGTTGACTCTGCTGCTGGGCGCAGGCCTCCTTCGGGACCCCCCCTCCGCCTGTCCGGTCCTGCAGCAGCTGCCGGATCTGGTCCACCACCCCGAGGTCCTGCAGTAGTTTCTTCCTCTGGAGGAGCGTGTTGATCCGCTCACGCTCCTCTGCTTCATCTTCTCCTTCTTCCTCCTCCTCCACGGCCTCCTCCTTCACTTCCTCCTCCTCCTCCCGCTGCTGCTGCTTGTCCTCTTGGACCTCTGCAGCTTCAGGGTCCTTTGGCACACTGGACGGAGGATGCTGCAGGGAGACATGTGATTCAATTTGTTCGTTTTTATTGCCTCATATATGTGTAGCCAGTATACATTTACAATATATCAGCAATTACTGTCACTGAATAACCTTCATAACGCAGTTTCTTTCCCATCTTGACAATATATGAATGTATTTAAATTTGAAATGAGAGACGTCCTATAGAAATTATCTGCAGGAATATTATTCCAGCTAATTTAAATTGGGGTAAGAGTCCATTTACAGAAAGAGGGTCAACCAGAATGTGAAGCATTCATCAAGAGACAGAAGCAGTCGGGCTCCCTCTGGTGGTTTCCGGTGGGCACTGCGGCCTCAATGCCTCACCGGCAGCGGGTCGGCGTCACAGTTCGCGGTGGGAGGGGCTTGTGTTTGTGCCTCTCGAGGTTTAACTCTCTCCCCCGCCGTCTCCCCCTGCAGGTCTCTCCTCCGGCCTCCCCTCTGGTCTCTCTCCTTTTGCTCCTGCTTCAGACGCAGCTCCTGCAGCTGATGCCTAAACACAAACGAAATACACAAACAACGACTGAAGAACAACCTTGTGTGTAGTTCATGCGGTGATGTTACAAGTTCAAAATCGTTAAGTTAAAAAAACACATTTTTGAGTCATTAGTTTTATAACTTCATAGTTTGTAAAACCATTTGTTTTGGTGAATACTGATCCAGTGGGAATGTTGATTATATTTTAGGAGCATTATGTTTCTCTTTCCTGTTTATTGATTCATAATTTAGTCTCTTCAACAGAGGGGAAACGACTACTTATTCAATAGTAATGATACCAAACAGAAAATGAGTGAATGCTCACATTCGACAATCACCAAAATCAATACTTTTGTCTCATACCCCCTTTTTGGTAGACCTCTCCATTTATTTATTTACAGCAAAACACCCATGCAGTACATTTCCTCTCCCTTCACTACTTTTTGGTTCATAAATCGTATGATTGGTTAACGCGAGTCTACAGGCTGGCAATTTGTGAATGAAACTTGTAATCCATGATTTGCGGTGGTCACTGTTTCAGTCTTCTCTGTCCCACCGCTGCTCTGTTCGGGCTTTTACACGTTTCTGTGATTAAGGAGGTAGCGGCGTGCATCACCTGCAGCTGCTGCTCTCCACGGACTTGTTGTGTTAAACGCGCTGCGGGTACCTGGCACACTCCTCTCTGGCCTTGGACGCCGCCGTCTCCTGGAAGAGCGAGCTGCTGTGTTTGAAGTACTTGTCGTATTTCTCCCCGCCCTCCCTGGGATAGATCCTCCGGAAGCCTCCCAGGTGTTTGGCCTCGTACCGCTCCATCTGCTCCAGCGTGGCGGCCTGGCACTGACGCAGCTCCTCCGACCTGGAACACGTGAGCGGCATGACCTGATGTAAGGGAGCAGTGACCTCGGGAGGAAAGAAACCACGGATGTTTTTTTGACTCCACCTGGCCTCTCTGGTGCTGTTTTGCTGCAGCCGGTCCTTCACCCTGCGTCTCTCCTCCTTGGTGATCTTGCGGCGGTCACAGGCGTCCAAGTTGATGAGAACCAGCGTGTCGTAGAGCAAGGCGTCCTTCACCTCGCGGTCCAGCGGTGAGTCCGTGGTAAAGCTGGGGGAGTGGTTCACCTGGACACACACACACACACACACACACACACAGAAGAAACACGGTGATCCACATGGACGTCTATGAAGAGCATGGATTCTCCTGAGTAACACATTTCAATACAAACTTAAGAGGCGACCCTTTTTCCAAAGATTAGTAAGAAGAGCAAACTTTCCATTCAAACAATTCCCTCCCCTTGATTGTACGCAAAATGCCTCGAAAAGAACTTGGGAACCAGGTATCAACAACCATGTTTTCATCTGATGTACAGAACGCAGGCGGTCCCTCACCTCCAGCACCCAGGGTCTGAGCCGGTGATCCAGCAGCACGTCGAAGCCCAGGATCTCGAAGCAGGCGCTGCCCGTGGTGTGGTTGGGGAAGCAGGTGTGGTAGTTGTGCTTGAGGGTCGGGTGAGCGGAGATCAGAGTCTTCACGATCACGTCCTCGATGTCGTCCCACATCTTGTCCGTGTTGCCGGTGATGGACTCGAGGAGCTTGTTCAGCGTGGACAGCTTTCTGAGGAGAAAAGAAACAAAATCAAAACAACAACAAGTACGCCATGAATATGCAGTGTTTTATTGTTGTTGTAGTCGTACACGTCGGGCATGGTCTGGTCACCGTTTGCTGCCGGTGTCCTCGTCACGGACAAAGTTCTTGCTGTTCTTGTTGATGGAGTAGTTGGTGAGATGCATGCACACGTCATCCTTAAGGGAGGAAGACGAGGGAGAGAGACATCAAGAAAGAAACAAAAACAGCTGTTCACCGATTTACACAGTTCCTCTGCAACTATTTTATAACATATTAGCATTTAAGCATTTTTTTATGAACAAAAATTGACACAATCTTTTGTTAAGAATATACACTTGTTGGGCTGCTAAGCTTGTTAATAGGTGTACCTACTTTACTGTAGTCTTGTTTTGTTTTTATCAACCCAGGGTTAAAGTCTGGCATTGTATTTCATGTCTTACTGATACTTATTTCTAAGTATAAGATTATTTATTGTAATTAATGATGAGTCAACATGCTAATGTAATTCTCACTGTACTGTACAGGAAAACTATAACAGTGACTCACTCCTGATCTTCAATGGTTCAAACTCAGTATGTTATCGTTGTCAACAAATCTATAATAAAACCAACATTGTGTTAATCGGTCTCTTTCAGCACATCGGTGCTTTCTGAAAACATCGGTGCATCATTAAAACTGCCCCTAAATAGACGTGTAGTTTTGCTCAAACCGAAAGAAAATTGTCAATTTGTAGGTGACTATTTTCAGGAGCGGATTAATCCACATTTGGAGCTCTGGTGATTACTTGTGGTGATGGAGGAACAACAGTGAGGCTCCTTGATGTGTTTTTAATGGAGTTCTGTGGCTCAGAACAAGAAGGGATCTCTGGGTTTGATGTGCACACAGACACAGCACTCAGTATAATATGAGTAGACATTTCTCACCACATTCCCTTGTGTCGGTTCGCTGTACTTGGAGGTGCAGAAGCGAGCCAGTCCCTCCTTGAACATGAAGATGCTGAGTGGGTCACATGACGTCACCAGCACGTAGATACGCAGGTCGAACTTGTATCCATCAATTATGTAAGGCTGAGGAGGGAATGAAGGACATCAGTAGACTTCAGTGTGTGTGTGTGTGTGTGACGTTCAATCCACCCTCACCCTGGAGATGTAAACCTGGCAGATCATATGCTCCCCGGGTTGAATGTCTTTAATTGCCTTGGTAATGACGATGCCTTTGCCTTGGCACCCGCTATCCGGCTTACATATGTACGTCTTGCTCTTTTTGGCCCTGGTGAAAGCTTGGAAGTCACTATAACTGCAAAAAGCACATTTGGTATCTTAACACACAAAGAGAAAAAACACAATAAAGGAGCAAAATCACTGGGGGGGGTGCAAACTGACTCTGCGGGAAGGCACCACGTCCGGGGGAAGATGTTGTAGTCTCGGGGGAAAAGCTTCAGCATGCGGTTCATGTTCCTCGCCAGTAAATCTTTGCGGCAGATCTCACTCATCCCGGGGAAGTGGTTTATCTTCTGCGAAGACACGACGCACAAACAAATGTGTCTTCAGGGAAAGTACTTATTGTGAAGTATTTGTATGTGCAAGACTGCAGCAGTCCAAGTGAGATATGACAAAATAGTGCCCCGCCCCCCCACGCTCCCCCCAGTTATTGACCTGCTCAGCACTTCCTGTACTGAATCACTCAATTAGATTACAAATGGATTCTTTAAGCTGTTATAAGTAATGAGAAAATGACGCACTCTCATAATCTCTACGTGAATCTCAATGTTTCATTATTTTATTAATGAGTAGGACACATTGAGCAAAGGGGAATTTAAATTCACAGAGTAGCTGTCGGTTTAATTTGTCCTCGGTGCCGCAGGCAGTGATGCGGGTGCTGCTGGGAGTACCTGGTAGAGCTTCATGTCCTTAACGCGGTCCAGAGACACGGAGCAGTCGGTCCAGAAGAGAGTCCAGTCGTCCCCCTCCGTCGCCTCTCTGAGGCCGAGGAGGCAAGCAGCGCGGCGCACTGAGACCAACACACAGCAGCGAGTCGTTTTACTGCGGCTGTGTGTTACCGACGGCATTGAGTCTGTTAGAAAAACAAGGGGTGTGCTACGAGCACTGATCTAGGAGCTACTGAACACAGTACATGGCCAGAAATGTGAGCACACTAGAACATTACACCCGTGTGAAATGGGGTTAGGACTCTGACAGGACAAATTATTCCATACCAAACTGGGAAAATCATTCTGGATGAGCTGCTTTGTATGTTGAGGCGTTGCAACAGAAAAGAGACAAACACAAAGTTCATAATTGTCTAGAACACAACAGGAATATGTGTAGCATTACAGTTTATTTTGCCATTTTAAAAGCGCAAATCACCCTCACACTGTCACTCCTACTGCTTCTTCTTAGTCATCTTATTATAGACGGCCACTCTACAGATTACAACCAGCAGATCTTGATCTCCATCAGACAATCTCTCTGTTGGTGTCAGCTCCTTTAGGAAAACATCCCGGCACCCTCCTGCAGCCCCAGTTGCAAAATTTAGCACCCAGGTTGAATTCATCATTCTCTTCATCTCATCATCATCACCAGTGACTCCATAGAGCGGTTTCCTTTTCAGCTCCACTCCTGTAATTATATGATGCTAGGATGGGGTCTGACTGCCAGAGACTACTCAAATTTCTGATTCTGCTGTCCCTCCAAATCAGGGCCATGTACATTTAACGTAGTCTTCGTTTGTACTCCCAGAACTCGTTGGGTTGGGTGAACTATAAAAGTTGGGTGCAAAGTAATAAATTATTTTAAAACTGATATATTAGAGAACATACCACTTTCATATTTGCAGTTGGTGAGGTTGATCCACAGTCATCTGGAAGAGAAGAGAGAAAGAAAGAGGGACAGACATCTGCTTTGCTCCAAAGTCCCACAAGCGCCTCATCCCGCTCCTCTCCTCTTCATCACACCACGAGGACTAGTGAGAAAAATAAAAACCGAACAGCCTCCAGAACAGGCTGCAGAATCACAGCCGTCAGGCTGCTCGGAGGTAAAGTACCTGCAGCTAGAAGTACTAACGGAGGGGATCAGCATTGATGTACAGTAAGTACCTCTTCTTGCTTTTCCTTTTCTTCTTGCCGTTGATGGGCGGCGGAGCGAAGGGGCGGGCTTCCGTCTGGCTTTCTCCACGCTCTCCCTGCTGCTCATAGTTATGTGCATCTTCGTTTCTGTCTGGACTTTCCACAGGTAGGCCCATCCTGGAGGTGCAAAAACAAAAAATACAATGGGGCGTGCTGCAACGGCCTCACAATGAAACTTGATTCAAACCGAACGAATAACAAGCTGTAAGTGCGCATGGACTCATGTTTCCGTTTCCATTTCTCTCATCAGGTGAGTGCTGAGGCTGTAACCGCGATGTCACACGCCGACATTAAAGAGTTATTAAGGAGAGCTAACTCTAACGCCAACCAGAACTTTCATTTTTGGTTTTGTATGATAAAATTGTGTGGTGCTTTTAGATATTAGTGTCCTTTGCAGGTGGGTTTTTGAAAGCAGTCCACTTCGTCCATTTTTCATTAACAGCCACCATCTCATGTTAAGTGGGATCTAAAGATCGCCTTCTAGGTCACCGCTAATTAACGAGGTAAAACATTAATGTCCACCGTCTATGACAAAGGCGTTTGCAAAATGGGGTCATTCTCCCACAATGCAACGCAAAAATTAAATGGCAGAGTTGAAAAAATGAATCTATTTGTGAAGTCAAAAAGTCCTTTCTATTAGGATAAAGCGTTTAAGAATTTAGATGTTTGACGATTGGTATGTAGTCCGTACTAACTAGTATTTAGTGAATTAGTATGAAGTATGAATTTGGAACCCAACTTCAGATGCTTTGTGAGACTGTACTCGAGCTAAATGCTAATGTCTGCATATTTCAGTTAAAAGCTTGCTAAACGCAAAGTACACCTGAGGATAATGGGAACGGTATGTGAAGAGTTAAAGGCTCATCATCGTTGAAACAATTCATCCTCAAGGGAACATGAACGTGTGTAACAACAAAATATTTGTGGCAATCTCACAGTGGCACTAAAAGAAAAGTCATTAGGATTCATCCTCGGGGGAACATGATTGTCTATAACAAATGCAAAGACAACACAATTCAGTAAGATGTTTCGCTGTGAAAGTGATGAACCGACTGAACCCCATTGCAATCTGCAGAGCTCAGCACGTTTAAAAATCTAAGTTAAAAGGAATAAACTTTGGGGAATTCTGATGGACTTCTGAGTTCTGGGTGGGTTAATGTCCGGCCCTTCACTCTGAAACAAGCTCAACGGCCTGCGATCGCCACCACAGCGTCTCAGCAGTCGGCCTTCGCCTCAGATGTGGTGTCTCGTGAGGTTAAAGGCGAGTTCATGTTAGTCCCTGGTAATGATCGCGGGGGCATCAAGGAGGGACATCCCAGGCACACTGCGGGGGGTCACGGTGCCGGGTGACCGTATTCTGATCCAACAACCTGGATAATCCTGGCCCCCGAAACCATGAGCTTTACACGGGGCCGAGACGCCCCACTGACCTCAGATGCGGTTACAGCCGCGCACAAGGATTTCTCCGAGGTTTTCTCTCAGCGTGCACAACAGGTAGGTGAATAACATCTTGGTATCATCTGGAACTGGAACTGGAAAATGCCAGTGTCACTGCACACATAGTGAGACGCAACACTAGCACATCGTCTGTTTCTTTCAAAAATAACAAAACCGCAGCACTAAACATTAAACAAGATGTTCAGGGACACGCAGAGCTATTGTTGCTATGGAGGTTGTCACTATCTGACTAATTAATATGATGGAGTGGAAGAGAAGACACATCTTTAGATTCCATTTGATACGATTGTTACTTGTTTACTTATTAGCCTTTCACATGTCCACACACATAATTAACGCTGCAACTAACAATTATTTCATTATCTGGTAAATTTATATGAATGGTGAATTACAAAAATGTTGCCATCTTAAAACTGCTTTGTTCCGTTCAAAAATCGGAAGGTGTTCCATATGACAAAATATGAAACAGAAAACCCCAAATATTTGCATATTGCAGTAGCACATAAATGCTCTCTCAACTTACTGAACCAAAATTACATACATGTTGTTTATGAAAATCAATATAGGCTGATCTTACTTCTAGATTGACTAGTTATTCATAAATGAATTCTGCACACATCACATTGCGCTAAATTCACCATGCCAGTTTATTAAATAAACCTAAAGCTAAAACTACTCAGTCCGATGCAACAAATCCTCTTCATGCTCTGTTTCAGAGGTGAGTGTTCTCACTTTGTGTTCATTTTTGAAAGCTGCAGTTTGTTGAATTTGTTCTAATATTTAGGAGGACCTCATCGATAAAATGTCCCTAATCAGTTAGTCACAGAGATCTTGTTCACCATCACCACGTTCATTAGAGAAATGGCTCTTACTCACCTGCACTCTGAAGGCTACATCTGTGAGGACGAGGGCGTTGGAAGATGCCACCCTGTCCGTCCGTCTGCCTCCAAACACAAAACGTTGTCTCAAGAGCCCTTTGAGACGCTGTCACACTCCTCAGTGGACAAACCAATGAGCCACATCTCCACCTTGTACACCGTCTGCCTTTAGGAGTCTTACAAAAAAAAAAAAGAGTAGATTTGTATCATCACAAGAACGTCTCGGTTCAGATTGACACAGTCAAGCGACGGGGCACAGCGGTGGATCTGGTGACCAATTAGAAGTTGAGGGGACAAACACCAGATCCCCTCCTGATGTGATGGAGAGGAAATGAGCAGGAGACCTCAGCAGGGAGCCAGAGCAGAGGGATAATCCCCGACATTTGTTCAATGAAACAGGAGAAGTGCTTTTCAATGCCTCAAGTTGTTAAATTTAAATCTGTGGTGAGAAGCGCCGTGGCAGAGCGTGGTGTGAGTGAACAGCCTGGAACATACGGCTTGCTGGCCAAGTTGAAATTGAGAACCTTCAGCTGAAGTTCAGCCTGCCATTGAAGGCATTAAAAATGGAGCACAGGCCGAAGTGGAAACGCTGATGATAGAAGAATAGAAAGTAGACGCACAGGACGACGTGACTTGTGTTAGTTGTCACGACGGGCATCAATCTGATTAAAACAAGACGGGACGACATCATAGACACAACATGTCACGGTGCTGAAACTACTTGTTTATTCAGATAATTAACTTTACTAAACAACTAGCTGACATCCAACACCCTTTCACACTGAATTATCTACCTTTAATCTTGCTTATGATGCTGTAAAGATCGCCTGCCAAGCATCTAGTCCTGTGGATTCACATGGCATGATTGTATTTGAGGGTATTCTAACAGCTTGTGTGTTGTGTTATATGCATCACAGGCTCTCAAACAATTACACGGCCTGGGAATTATAATTTAACGTGAGTGTATTTTTATAGAGATATTACGTGCAGGTAGCAGACGTTCATGCTCTTTTCTCAAATTCAATAAATAGTGCTTTATGTTATTAAATTAAAAAGTGGCACTGGAAAAAAATCTCAAAATGTAAATTGCTGATGTTGTAAAGTAAAAACCGAATCCATAGTTTGCTCATAGAATTCACAAAGGTTTAGGATACTTACTATTAACGTTACTTAACGTTACATAGTTTATTTGTCTGGGAGACGTTTTAACAACACAAATAAGCCGATGTGCATTTAATTTCCCTCTAGAATTTATCTCCGAATCCTCTTCCAATGCTCACAGTTTATCAGGACACCTTGTGATTAAGTTTAGCTTAAGAAGTTTTCTCGTCGGGACAGTAGTAAAACATCTATGACTTGTTTTTCCAACGGCAAGAATCTCGACACGACACACCCAACGTTCCAGTTGACGTCTGTAGGTCTCTTATTAAGATATCTAGCTGAACCTCATAAACAAACAACATGACTTGACGCTCTATATGCTAACCGATCGTTATATGCTAACTGTAGGCCGTTGTCATGGTAACGACTAGAGAAAGAACGGCCAGCAACGTTAGGAACGTGACATTACCGTTCGCGTGTTGTCTTTTTACCGGTGCCGTCACACCGAGCAGCTTTGTGTTAGGTTACGCCTGTTGTTGTTGTTGTTGTTGTTGTTGCTGTTGTTGACGGGTCGTGGTTGTCGTCTTCTTGGCTTGACACACAGCGGCGACGTATCCTGTAAAGGTAAACATGAATGAACTCGAAGAACACACACGCTGTCCATCAGATGGTACCGCCCTGGTAAGTCTTTAGCCAATCATAATCCAGGGGTGTGAGCGTTATTGTCTCTGATTGGCTCACCGATGTTAAAAGACTCACGTTGCCGCAAATACATGTTTCCGTTTCGATGGTTTTCGGGTAATTTATTTAATATTTTTGCACGGTAATTGACGTCGAAGTAAGTGCGGGACACTCAACCACAAGCTGATGATAATGCCTTCCCTAAAATAAAATGCATAATGTCACACATATATGACAAATATGATTTGGCAATGTATCGCCATAAAACATGCTCACCTATGTGAAAATGTAACCCCAGGGACAAGAAAAAAGGGTGAACTTAGATGTGGCATTTGTTAGTATTTAATTTTAGATATCTTAGTATGTTTCCATATGGCTGAGCCTTTAACCAGCACTGATGTCAAAACACTGATGTCTAAACTGACCAATATCAAAGTGTGTCTTTTAATCAATTCTAAAAATATATCATAACACATATTTGGTCACATTTAAATATCAGAATATGTTTCAAGGCGGAAAACCGTTTATCTTTCTCTTGCTGTGCAGAGGCGAAGAGGGTATACTGTATACATTTTTCATTCGCCTACATTACCCACAATGCATCATAACGATCTCCAATAAATGCAACTAGTGATGCCTTTAAGTAAAATTGGAAACAGGGTAGCAATGCCTGAATTGATGAAAATACATAAAATACGACCTGGAGGTCTTCTATCAAATACCATATAATAAATTGTCGTGCTGCAGTTGTAGTACAACGTGTGAAAGAGCTCAAATATATAGATACATTATATCAATAAGGTGTATGCAAAAATGTGTACGTACATGTCCTACTTGTAGTAGTAAAATATAAAATTGTATTATTAGATAAACGTCATTAAACTGTGTTAATACAGTGGTAAAATTACTTTTGGAAATCAAAGAAAATCGGTTTGAATGTTTGCATGTAAAACTCTCAACTTTAAGTGGCCGAAGCGTGTGGTAGTACAACGATCCGAGGAGCACCTGAACGCAGCACAGCGGCTGTCTCTGACGAGCGGAGCTGGCGGTGTGTGTTGGTGCGGCGACGAGCAACAGCTAACATGTAAGTTCAGTTTAATGTCTTTATCCGAAACATTTACTCTAAAACGGAGTTTTTAAAAACTCCTTTTAACTGAAAGCAGGGTTTTCTGTTGAAAGCTATTATTACATAATGTCTCGGGTGCGGTTTTCTTTTGCTCAATCACTTTCGGTTTCAATATTTGAATGTTTAAAATCAGTTCAACTGCCTTTTAAAAGTTTAGTTTAAATTTAGTTTTCACCATTTTCAGCGCTACAACGCAGGGCTGTTGAAATACGATACGTGCGCACGAACAACAACAATAACGGGAAGAAGAAAAGCGAATAAAACCAGCTGCCGTCATCGGTCGCTCTGTTTATTTTGACAGCACATCATGGAGAAGCCCGAAGAGGCCGCTGAGGCACGAACCTTCCCCCAGGTGGTGTTCACCGACACCCCGTACTCCTATCCGTATTCGACCACCGTGACCTGCCGCTACACCATCACCTCCCCCGTCCAGCCGACCCCCCGGGACTGGGTGGGCATCTTTAAGGTCGGGATGAGAAAGAAGTGTTTACATGGATTTATTGGTTTTACTACCTATAAAACAATATAAAGGATCCTGGAAGTAGCGTTTTTTTAAATGTGACTCGGTCTCTCAAAACAATGACTCGTCTAAATAATGACATCACAACAATAGAAATTCAAATATTCGTCCAAAATAATGAGTCATCTCAACAATAATAGAGAAATTATTTAATTCATTATTTTGAAATATTGACCCTATATTTTAATAATAAGTAGTATATCAATTCCAGAATAATGAGTTACTATCTAAAATAAATTACTTGTCAAAATAACAATAAACCTCAGAATAATCAGCTCATATTTTTGGGGAAAGTTTTTCATAACTTTGAGATACAGACTAAATATTTTTATAATTTTTTTCAGTAAAAATCACATCAGTAGAAAATAGCTTCCCTTTCGCTTCCATATATATGTGTGTTGCCTCAAGGAATCTGGCTCTTGACTTTTGTCTCATCACTTCTTTAACAGGTCGGGTGGAACACAATAAAGGACTACCACACCTTTGTTTGGGTGGAGCCGTGTCACGATGTGGTCGGGCGAGAATCCACAACGAGGTCCGTTGTTTTTAAAGGTAAGAAACTTTTGGACCGCCTGGTAAAAACGTTTGTTGTGTACACTTGCCAAAGTCACAGTGTCAACATGATTTAAACCTAATCAGGATATTAAAACAGGAGTTTATGAGCCGCTGTGACAAAGGTACTCTGCCTTGGCGGTGTTGATCATATCTGGTCAAATCTTCTGTGCAAACCACAGCGTTTGTTTTAGCTCCTTCCAGCTCGCTCAAAGCTCACACACAGATTCAGTTTCATTCTATACTGTGACGTAGTGATAACTGGTGATCTTTCATAACTGGTCAGATGCCTCCACGTGAGCAACAACTGTTCCCTCCGACAAGGAGTGAAGAGTGTTCAGCGTCAACAAAATGTTGCGCAACCGCAATATATATTTGTCCTTGTTTGTCCTGTTTGTTTGTCATGTGCGATTCGGTGTTGATTTCTGAGAGACGGATCCGTGACGACGGTTGCGTGTGACTTCTTAAAATAAAGTCATGTTTGCTTGTGACCTTCCTCACAGTTCATGTCTTGAGTGGACTTTTACTGTGTGCTTTTTGCACATTGCTTCATTTCGATTATTTTTGGAAGCCTGAAGGATTGAATACTTGATCTGAAATTGACATAATTTGATAGAACTTTACGGGTCAATAAAGTACTTATGTAATTTCCCTCCGACAAGGGAATTTCCTAAGATTGCCTCTAAGATTATCATCTTAGTGGCAAATTTGAGACATTTCAAAAGCATGTTGAAAACCTTTAAAAGTCCTGACAGTACATTACCTCCTGTTTTCTGATATCACAGTGTTTAGTTTTAAGAGAGAATTTACTCCTTTTTGCTTCCTGATATGATTGTAAACAAAATGTTTTTCGGATTGTTGACAAGAGATATTGAGACACACTAGGAAGTTTTTAGTAACCATAGTGAGCTTGTTCTTCTAGCGAGTGAGTGAATCCTCCCTGTTCTCCTCCTATCAGAGTACTACCTGCCGAAGAATGAGCACGACTTCTACCAGTTCTGCTACGTGGACGGCAACGGCGTGGTACAAGGAGCCAGCACTTCTTTCTGCTTCAAAACGCCGGCGGAGGAAGACCCGGAGAGCGACCTGCAGGGAGACCTGCTGGTCATTACTACACAGGTATCAGATGTCAGCTGAGAACGTGGTTTCCATGGAAACGATCGGACAAATATAATTACAATCGACGGGTCATTTTTAAACTCGCAGTGGGGCTCTTGACTGATGACTAGAGGCTTTGTGTTGATTTGTGTGCTCTGTTGTAAATCAGGAGCAGGTGGACCAGGGCCTACTTGAGAAAGCTGAGCTGCAGAAGGAGCTGGATCGGATAAAGGAGGAAAATGAAACCTTGAAAAAAGTTCAACAGACAGAGCAGCAACGTGTTGCCAGCCTGAAGGTCAATAAAGAGTAACACATTTCACAACAGGGAGAAATAGTTAAATAGGACCTTTGATATTTGACCCGCTGTGGTTTTGTTTCTGCAGCGGCAGAATGAACAGAAAGCGAGAGAAATGAGTGAGCTGGTCAAAGAAATGGAAGAAATCAAGAAACGGAATGACGACTTGAGAAGCACCGTGCAGCAGAAGGAACAGGAGAATGACGGATTAAAGGTTTGCTTTCAGTCTGCCGGGGGAAGTCGGTGCTGCGGCTTCAGGGTTCAGAACTAACTCTGGTGTCTCCACCAGGAGGACCTGATGAAGCAGGCGGAGAAACAGCGGCTCGAGGCCACAGTGGAGAAAATCACCAGCTTGAGTTTAGACGACCTATCGGGGCAAAATGAGGTAAGATTGTGTGTGTGTGTGTGTGTGTGTGTGTGTTTTTCTGTTTTTCTGTTTAAATCTCTTTGGCTGCTAAAAGCTCCGACGAAATGTGGCGCCAATCCTCCGTTGTTCCATTGTTCAGACGCACGCTCGGGAGAAGTACGACCGAGCCGTGATGAAGATCAACCAGCTGAAGGGGGAACGCCACCAGCTGAAGGAGCAGGTGGAGGCTCAACGTGAGGAGATCGTCACGTGAGTCGAGTCCGAGCATTGTTATCTGTCCACCGTTGGAGTACGTCTGTCCCGACCCTGACAGCCTTTGTTTATATTTTGAAGGTTAAATTCCAAACAAAGAGAACAGGAAAGGGAACTGATCAAAATGAAAGACACCATCCAGCTGCTTCAGGTGAATCGACTTTGCATTTTGAAGTTATTAATAACAACAGCTTTATCCTTCTAAATTCTTCTTCTCCAAAGATGCTCTTACAAGTAAAATAGTCCCCAAACAGGCGAACGTTGTGCATTTGTTGGACTACTTTCAGCGACAGTTTAATCCACATCAGGTGCATTTACTGAATGTTATTTATTTATTATTATAGTAAAGTGGTTTGCAATCCCAATGATGCAATTTTCTAACTAAATCAGCTATAACAACAAGATTATATGTTAATTTCTCGCTGTAACATACAGGAAAAAAAGAAGGAATCTGTCCTGATTTCAATGTCCACATTGAAGTCAGGACAGATTCCTTCTTTTTTGTTCTCAACACATTTTGACCGGTCTCTCAAAGACAAACTTATAAGAAAACTCCTCAAGATATATAACTGAATGCAGTTTTTATCAGACAGAAACTGTCCATTTTTTGGGGACTACTAATGATCCTTACTTGATGCTTTAGTGCGTATTTGTGTCAGCCGGACGGTGTATGCTTGTAAACACACAATACTTTTTTATTGAGATGCTACACGCTGATGGCTTTGGTCTCCTCATGAGACCCGATACGAGCTGATGATTTGTTCCAGAATTGAAATGCACGTGCTTTGACCTCTTGGGCAGGTTGACCTTCAGAGCAGTGAGATGGACAAGGGGAGGCTCTCTGTGGAGCTGCAGAGGTCGCAGAGGTCGCAGAGCCAAACAACCGTCATGGACGACATGCGGAGAGAGATCCAGGAGTTAAGCGAGAAGCTGGCGAGGCAGACGACACCGCAGAACTGTTCAGATGACGACCTGACGGTGGGAGCAAACAAAAAAAAACAACAACTAGAAATGCCTTGTGTTCTTTTTAAAAACAAAGGGGCTACATGACGGTGTCTTCTTCAGGCGCGGTGTCACACTCTGGCCTCCCAGCTGAAGGAGGCTGAGGGGAAGCTGCAGGCTGAGAGGGAGGAGACCAGAGACATCAGGGTGCGCTCTGAGCATCTGATCCTGGAGCTGCAGCAGCTCCGGGATCAGATGGCCCAGCTGGCCTCATCCGGTGAGAAGGCTGAACGGACGAGCGGCAAACTAGAGGTGAGAAACCTCGAACTCGGTCCAGAGCGAGCTCGCAGCCACGAGCTGCGTGGTCTTCTGCCTTTTTTGTTTTCCACTGCCTCCGGAGCTCCAGGTTGACGAACGTGCTTTTGGTGTCTGCATGCTAAAAACCCGTCGGTCTCTTCCAGCTAAAGCTCAAAGAGGCAAACGGCGCGATCGCAGATGCACGTTTTGCCATCGCAGAGAAAGACTGCTTGATAGGGGAGAAGGAACAGCAGATCGCACTGGCAGGACTGGAAAAAGAAGAGCTGTCCAGAGAGAACCAGGTACCCCTCACACCAGCATCCTCTCCCCCTGTGATCATCAGAACCTCCTTTTGTTTACTCGAGTCGTGTTTATTCCCTCAGATGCTCAGGGACGATATGGAGCGGCTGCGCGGAGCTTATGCTGCACTCCAAGCGTCTGCCCAGACCAACGCGCCTCACCCGCAGCCCCAGCAGCCCCAGCAGCCCGAGCACCCGTACGACAGCATCGGTGAGTTCAACTCATAGCGTTTAAGAAGTATAAGATCATACAAAAGACAGATTACAGAATGTTCGTCCCGCTGTGCAAAATAAAAGATCAATCAAATTACAAACACAACCCCAAAACATTTCCCCCACGTACCCTCAGTGATATTTGCTAACCTGAGCTTGTGCCTCCACCCGAGTATGATGGAGCTGAATGATTTCAGTGAACAATGTGCTGCGTAATCGACACAAGATTCATTTGAACGTATATTTGTTTTTCAGCGACACAAAATGAATACCCATAGAGGATTGCCACCTACTTTTACCAAACAAGTTTTTCCAAAAACAATAGAATCCGGTTTCATTGATAACAAACTGAATGAAGCAGTTGTTTTAATTCATCTGTGGTTAACTGATTCACTTTTCCTTTCAGAAACGGGCGCAGAGGAAGAGGTGAGTGGAAATACTTCAGTCCGGTATTATTAAAGAGGCCATGACCTCACCTGGCTCTCCCAAAGCTCTGTAATCAATGTCTCAATCGCAGCGTTTAAACATCGTAGCTTTCTATTAACACAACCTGGCTGAGCTAAAGTGAAGCTGAACTCTCAACATGACTCAGCTGTTTACCGTTTATTTCTGTAGAAGACTTAAAACATAATCCGCTGCCTATTTTGTTACTGCACCCAACGTGCCTTCTCCATTCCTGCCCCCCCCCCTGGCAGTCGCTGATATGTCGCCACTGCCGCGAGAGCTTCCCCTGCATAACCGAGGACGAGCTGCAGCAGCACGAGCAGAGTCACCGACTGTGTCCCTTCTGCACGATGATCTGTGACAGCATGGAGCAGTCTGCGTACGAGGACCACGTCTACAGCCACGGGCTGTGAGCGCGCCTCGAAGACCACGTCAGCGTCAGGCAGCACATCAACATATCGTCTTACAAGCCGGGTCGGTTCTGGTGTAAAAGGACCACACCAATATTTGCTTTTAGAGTATATTTTACTTTTCCGTTTTCCAAAGTATGCAGTTTTGCGTGTTTGTTTTTATTTCTGCCTATATTACCAATACTCAAAACCCCTTTCTTTGTTTTAACAAATGAGCAAAAGTGCTGAAAGAAAAAAAGTCGAGATTGTCTGTTGAATTTGCACATTTGTACAGAATTTAAAGTTTATTGAGTCGAGATGCACCAATAGCTCAGCCTCAGCAGTGCTCTTTCACTTGGTTTTGGCAGTTAATCGTCCGTGCACGTAGCCAATGATTTAATTCAAATCAAATATCAAAGAAAATGAGAATAGAACGCATAGATGTTTCATAAAATGAATAGAATATAAATGTAGGCTCTGTAACATCTAAATTAAACAAATTTCAAACCTTCACAAGGATGATTTGCATATTGCACAAAAAATATTTTATTTTTTGTTAATGTATGCTTTGGAAAATAAAGCAGTGATGTATATGTAGGACTTATATTAAAAAGGCCAAAACATTCTTTTTCTGTGGAATATTCCTCATATCATTTACAGTTACGTTTCACCCTTCAGGGGAAACTGCTGATCTGTAACTACAAAAGTGTTGATTTAAGTGTAAATTTGAAAATGTAAATGACAGAATGAGGTGTTGATGCGTATGAAAACATGTACGGCTCTGAACGGCTCTGCTGAAGTAATAAAAATAAAAGTGGTGGAACGGAGCAGAGGAAAGTTATTTATTTGTTTCAAAGTTATATAGAAAACAACAACGTTACACATTTGTCTGTACGTTGATGCGTAACCACCTGAAAAGGCGAGACACCAGTGCCGTGACTCCCAAGTCCGCGTGTGCAAATAATGTGACGGCACTCGTTGCCTAGGTGACGCGTTCTCCCCGTCGGGTCCAGAAGATGAGCTCAGAGGGAGCGCCGTTTCACCGGGCTCATGGTCATTTAACAACATGTCTCTTGAGCGGTCGGTCCCCCCCCCCCCCCCCCAAAATCCTATCAAGGTGTCATCTGATTGGCCTCCTCCGGTGTGACGTCACGGGAGGTCAGCTCGGCGAAGAGAGCGGGCAGCCAGTACTGCGCCTCTTCAGCGGCCTGAGAGTCCAGCCAGGCCAGGCCTTCTTTCAGCAGGTGGTCCTGCAGAGAAGAAGAGTACAATAGAATTAAATGTCAGTTTACTCGTGCATATCATCAAATGGATGACCATAGTGAAGACATGGCCTTGAGTTATTGTTATTATTCTTTATTTATTTCCTAGCTGTTTAGAACAATTTAAGGAATGCAACCAATGATCAATTATCTTCATCTTCTCTATTAGTGTAATGAATGTTTAAAAACTGAAAGGGGCGTTTCTCAGAACCCAAATTGAGTCTTTAAATTGCCTGTTTTTGTGTTTGACGAATCACCAGTTTGCATCATATGACAAAAAAACTAAACCACTCATCTGAGAGGCCGAATAAATAAAGAAAATGTGACGTTACTGCTTGAAAAACAACTGAAAGGATTAATCACATATATGAAAAGTTTCCCAGAGAGTTTCTGACAGACTAGATGATTTGTTGACTCATATTTGCAGGCTGTTAAATATCTCTAATCTCTAATATAATTAATCTAACGAAACTGGACCAAGATAAGCAGAAGGAAAAGGATAGATGCATTAACCAAATTAAAATTGATTGAGCCATAACATTGAGCCATTTTAAAGTGACGCCTGCTCTATCAAAGATTTAAAAAAAAAAAGTAAGACTATTAATACTGAACGTTGTTGTTTTTTTAAGACCCCTGTGTCCTGAAATGAGCTGATGAAGATTTACCAAGACGTGACAGGCTCGTTCCTTCTCCCACTTCAGACTGTCCTTGATCTCACTCACGGTCACGTAGCCCTTTTTCTACAAACAAACAAAGACAGACAGAAGTAACTTTGCGACGAACAGCCATTGATTTTTAGATAACAAATGCAGCTGCAGAGCTGAAACAATATTTAAAACCGGCAAGAGGCGACGACAGGAGGAGAGCAGAGAGTGTGAGGAAATAGCGACACCAAGTGATCAACTTTGTTTTTTGATTTTGCTTCATCTATTTATTTGTTCAGAAGAATATAATCTCTTTATCATTCACCTTGTGCTGCTGTGGTTTATGATTGTTGATGAGTTAACTCTTGATTTTGACTTTTAATCAAATTAAAAAATGATTTTTGGCCTTTTGGTAAATATATATTATAGGTGTAACGATTCATTCACTGAATCGATTAATCGATTTATATTCCTGCGATCCAACTGAATCGATCGGTTTCCCCCGCAAATTGGCATTCCAGACGTCATACATCGATTACAAATCGATTGAAATGGTACATAATTGATTGTATCGATACTTGGAAACTGCACATTGGATTTAAGTACAAAAACGGCATGGATGCGTGTTTGTTTGTTTGTTTGTTTTTTAGCACTTTAGACTAGGGTGGCCATTCGTCCGGCTTTAGGACAAACTACAAACTACTACTGTATCTCACTGCTCATGCTGCTCAGAATGTCATACAACTCAGTCCTGTTCATGTTAATTAGCATCAAAAATATTATTAGACCTATATAATCTGAATTGGAAGGGCACGTTGTCATGAGCTGTAACTTGTATATTTTTTATTAGCTATGTGGTATGTGTGTGCACCTTTGTGTAATCTGGTGGAAAAACATAGTAAAATTTAAAACCGGATCATACCAAACAAATATCTGCTTGCGTGTCCCCGTGTATGCAAAGTGTCCTTTTTGACGTGAAGGAAATGGCCACCCTACTTTAGACACGTTAAACGTTACTCGATTCAGTCTGCGTGTCTGCGACGTCATCAGTACGCAGCGGCAGCCGAGCGAAACTCGGAACAACAACAACAACACACAGCGTGAAGGAGACGACTGCGAGCGAGACATTTATTATAAACCAACTTATCGATCCAGCGTGTGGAAACATTTTGGCCTTTGCAAACACGGAGGTGTTCTAAATAAGTCGGTCGCTGTTTGTAGAATATGTAGAAGCCAAATAAAAAACCACGGAAACACGACGAATCTTTCCAGCCATCTACTAAGGCGCCATGGGATTAAACAACGCCGACAGTCAGGCACCTCTAGCAGCGTTACCGCTGCAGCAGCAGCAGCAGCAGCAGCAGGTAACTCCAGCTCTGCAGACACCTCAGGCCTCGCCAGCACCAGTTGTTGTTTGCTTGTTTATAATATCCATAATTCATTTAAACCTGATTTCCTTACAAGAAACAACAGGGATCTCAGAAACTTTGCCTGCACTGTCCAGTAAAGTTACTGAATCGATTTCAAGTCACTGAATCAAATCGAATCGTTCTAAATTAACCCAGATCGTCCATGAATCGAATCGGCAACCATGAATCGTGATTCGAATCGAATCGTTGTTAAAATGAATCGTTACACCCCTAATATCTTGACATTTTGAGAAGAAAACTCAGGAGATGCAACGCAATGAACTGCTGTGGAAGTATTCTAAACAACTAAAAAGATCAACTTAAGTTAACGCTATATTTGCTTAATTTAACCACTTAACCTCACTGTCCAACGGCCCTTCATGACAATCTCTGAGATATGTTCAAAGCCACCAGACTTCATTCAGAAAAACACAGATCTTATCTCCCAGAACACAGGAGGTGCGAGTCTACCGCTGCCTCCAACTGTTAGTTAGTTTGTGTCATTGCTTATTTGTGATATAAATAATGAGTCCAGGAGCTGCTCTCACCTCGGCCAGCTGCAGAACCACGGTGTGATCCATGTTAAGCTCAGCTGGGACCGACTGCACCAAATAAGAGCCTCCGACCGGAATCATCCCGAAGCCGTTCCCCATCACCTTTAGCTTCTTTATGGCTCTCATCAAGTCGTCTCTGCACGCATTTAGGGTTTAAAATAAATCATCCAATTAAAGACATATGAGCTTCTAATGATCCAAAGAAGATGTCCAGAATGTTCCACTTACTGGCTCACGTCCTGAGCGTATTTACCTCTTCCCTTCAGCACTCTGTGATGGAGTTCATCCAATGTAATGAGCCCTGAAAGAAAATACACATCAAGCCTTTAAAAGCCAGATACATAATAATGTATGGGGGCAACACTGTGCAGGTCTTCATAACTGTATTCATTGTATATCTCTCTGGTGAGATCACAGCACAACAAGTATCATTTAGTGTCCAGCAAAATTACAAACCTCCATTTCTGTGTTTCAGGGCTAGACACACTTCAATAATTTGAACACCGAGCTCGTAATAGAAGTCACCGACACCGAGCATCTCGGACCAGAACCCTTTGCCAGCTGTGGAAGAAATGAAGGTTATTTTTGACTTTAGAAACATTAAACACAACTATATTTAAAGGATCATATTCAAAATGCTGCTCACAGGCGAGTGGGTCAACACCAATAGTGGAGCACATCTCCTGAAACTGAACCCTGAACTGGGAGTTCTTTCTGATTTCTTGCTTGTGTTTGCTGGCGAACTCCTCCAGGTTGGACTTGAAGGTCTCCAACTGCTTCGACATCTAGGAGAAAACCCGAAGCATGTGAGTAAATGCAGGTGGCTAAATGCAGAAGAGGAAAAAGTCTTCATGCGAAATAAATATATGGCGGTTATAGATTTTTAATGGGACTGAAAAAAAAACATAGCGGTATTTTTTTTAAATCTATGAACTTAATATTCATCTAACAATTTCTAATCAATATATAATTACAAATTGCAAAACTAGTGTTTAGAATTTCTTAAGTACTTAAGTAAAAGCAGTATTATTGTAAAATACGTTGTCACAACTCATAGATAAACATCCTACATACTAAAGAAAAGTGTAATGCAGAATGGGTCATTTCAGAACGTTTACTACAATACTCAGTTATACTGTGCATTATAGTAAATATATTACTTTTTTTCAATAATCTCAATCTGCAAACTAATAAAATGAATAACCAAGTAATCCTCTACTTTATTTTGGAGTATCAGTTTAAAGTAGCACAGAATGAAAATACTTAATACCGTCACTAAAATACCATCAAGTACCTTCAAAGGTGGTTAAGTAAAGAATTTAGCTTAATAAATGTACCTATTTACTTCGTACTTCAAATGGAAATTAATTTTTAATTTCTTAGGGGATTTATTTTGTGGTTAAAAGTCGTATGTGTTTATATTCTAATAATATATATATATATATATATATATATATATATATATATATATATATATAGACACAAAAACTCACTTGAACAATTTGGTCCTCTGCAAGAACATTTCCTCTTTCTTTGTATTTGGCCTAAAAAAAAAGAATAATTCACAGGTTAGATGTTATCATTACTATGAATAAACACTAGTTTAGGGTTCCTCAACAACAACAACACAACAACATGAGTACAGTGACAGAAATTATTTTGATAATATAAAAATATGTGACTAAACAGACAATAAATAAGTCATAATGCCAGGGATGAAGTCGTGAATTATAAAGAGGTTATAGCGATGTATAACTGATCCAATAAGAAGACCAGGGATTTGTTAAAAGGTACAAAAACAAAACTTTAAAAAACAACAACTCTAACTTCACCTCTGCGAGCTTCTTTTTTGCAATAGCTCCCGCACCGACTCCTCTCCGGTGCATTCTGATGACGTCTGTTACAAACGTTGAACACGGAACATACACTACGAGTGTCTTTAGCGCAGAATAATGTCAGGAAATAAGATCCAACGTTAGCTTGTAGCTACGCTAAAGTTAGCTGCGAGGGCGTTTCCGGTTCTGTTCACTGTTCACGTAAGTTACGTCACGATTGTCACCTCGATGAGCACGTCTACGGAATCAATAGCTTTTACGCTATTACTTCAAACTATTTAGGTAAACATTGGGCGAGACATCAGCTGTTAAATATGATATGAAGCTACCTTTGGAAAACTGTTTCCATTTTGATAGAGCGGAAGTGAACTACTTCCTGGTTGCAGAGGGAAATACTTTGTCATACCGCCCCCTGGTGTCCCGACGAATATAGCCGGCCAGAGGTGGAATTGCAACAATTAGCGTTATATCGCAACAAATCAACAGAAATATACATTTAAGGATTAAATAAACAGTCAACGTTTGAAGAAGAATTCTGATCCTTTAGTTGAATAAAAGAAGAAAAAATGGGCTACAATGGCACAACATTTTACTGAAGTGCAGTGGTTGAAGAAGTATTTCAATCTCAGTTAAAGATGCACTACTGTTGTTCATAAATTAATTTGTTTTAGTAAAAGTTAAAATCTTATTTAAGTTATTAAACATTAGCATCTAAATATACACAGCGTAACAAATGTAAACGGATTAATCATGCAGAATGACTCATTCCAAAATAAATACAGTATTTAATACTTAAATAGTATAGTGTATTATTGTATGTCAATCAATCAACTTGTATTTCATACTCAAGTTCCAGTATATTTATATATATATATATTTATATATATATATAAATGTGTAATAGACATACTCCACTACTGCTTCAGGACAGCAGTTGTATTGTCTTGTTTTGCTTTTGTATCATGTTGAGTTCACCATATATTTATGTATTCACTTTTTGTTTTATTTGGAGGTGGAACCATAGTAACACAACTTCGTCCCTCTCTTTAAAGGTAGCAGACAATAAAGTCTCTTTAATTGACACAATCGTAGCATTATTACGTTGATACCAACTCAAACGTATCCTTCAGCACCTGAGCTACTGTACTTACTGTATTTTACCACAATGATTTACATAATGATGACAGATGATTACATAATCGCGGTTTAACGTGTGCTGCGTGTACTCTGTCTCCCCCTTCTGGCGCTACGCGTCAAAAACGTTCAAAACACAAGAAATGGCCAGACGACAAATTACGCATGCGCAGTAGTCGGCGCTTTAAAACAAGTCTTGAGGAGGGAACATGAAGGCAGTTGCAGGTGGACTTCAATAACAGGCGAGTTGAGCTCGAAACACCTCAAATACATCGGAGTGAAACAAGCTTTCCGACTGTGAGCGTCGTATTACGTGTTCGTTATAATAGCGGCGCTTCCGGAAGTGCGTTTCGCTTAGTTTAAAACTAGCCGGGCTAAACGTTAGCCGGCTAGCTAGCTAGCTGTTATTGTTTTTCATGATTTCGCGAGACCCAAAATGGAGGAGAAGAATCGTGCCAGTGTCGCACACAGCCACTCCCGAGTCCTCGCACTGAAATGTCCTCCCGGACGCCCCACGCAGAGCTCTTAATCTCCCCCAAGTGAAGACTCCGTTACACGTATTAGCCTCTGAGGTGTCCTATTGTGCTGCTAATGTAGCCTAGCTTCAATTTCGATCCCGGTGAAACGGTTTTTGGGAGAAGGATGCCTGGGGATCAGGCACCGTCTCTGGGCTTTGGTGCTCTACGGTTTTGCGGAGCGTGAGCAGCCGGCGGGTGTCTTCGACCAGCCGCCCCGAGGCCGCGTGCCTCCACCTTTTAACGCGACCTCTCGCCTTTTGTTTTGCAGGCGGAGCTGCTGCCAAGTTCTCACTGCTGCGGTTGAAATGCACCGCCGGGGCGCCGCAGGATGAGAGACTGGTCGCCGTGTTCGCCATGACTCTGAGGTCCACGCTGTTTCCAAACACGGGTTTCAAGCAGGACACGGACTCCACCGACAAGCTTCATTTCGGGGCCGCCGCGGGCCTCAAGAGGGAGTCCGGCGGCTTTGTCTCCGATGTCCACAACGCACGCGGGGCGGAGATCCCGAGCAGATCCAGGGACTTAAAGCAGCATTACATGAGCAGCAAAGTTTCCCTCGCAGCCACGGTTGCAGGAGTAGTTCAAGGAGACAATAAGACTGTGGGGGCGTTGTCCCCTGTGAGACAAATGGGGGGTGAGGGAACCCCAGTGAAAGGTAAACCCCTCTCTGCCGACACTATGGATAACCCTCAGATGGCTCTCAACAACAACCCCAAGGATGCAGGCGCGGATGAAAGCGTGAAGGGGGTTGTCCCCGGGGTCCTCGGCACGGCATCCATTGAACTGTCCGCCGAGGGCAAGTGGAGGAACATTAGAAAGACGCCTGCCAATCCCCACACGCAGGCCAACTGCCTCCGGCAGATCCTCCTCCTCCAACTGGACCTCATTGAGCAACAGCAACAGCAGCTGCAGTCCAAGGACAAAGAGATAGATGAGCTCAAATCAGACAAGGAGACGGTACGGAAAATCTTTTTTTTACTGTATTGTTCTGTTGAATGATGTAGTTGATTTCCAATGCATCTACGTTGATTTTTGTCCTCTTTTCACAGCTTCTTGCGCGCATTGAGCGCATGGAGCGTCGCCTGCAGCTAACGAAGAAGGACCCGCCACGCGACAAGCGCCTCTTCCAGCCCCTGGAGCCGTGGACCCCCGACAAAGAGGACCTGTGGGATCTGGATCCCGAGGAGGGTCCGCAGCCCAACGCAGCCACGTCACTCCTGTTCAGTCGGGGTGGTAAAGGTCAAAAGAGGTAAAGTGAACGGGGGTACATTTGGGGATTTTTTTAAAGTTCTGTCTCTATAGGTATTTTAGTATTCCCTTTCTCCTCACAGGAAGTCTTGCTTTGGAGAGGCAAAAGTCCAGAAGTCACGAGGCAAAAGCGCCAAGCTCAGCCCCCAGAAAACCGAAAGTCAGCCCGGCTCTCCGAACCAGAGAGAGCTGCGCAGCAAAGAAACCCCCGAGAAGACCCTTCCCATGAGATCAGGGTCGGAAAGGGACCTCATGCTCCCGTGCAAAGAGGAGCCCGGGCTGAGTTACCAGATCGAAGACCTGCCTTTCATGTCTACTACAGAGATGTACCTCTGTTGCTGGAACCAACCTCCTCTTTCGCCTCTGCGTGAGACTTCCCCTAAAAAGGAAGAAGAGGTGGCCAGTGAGTGGACTCCTCATGTAGTACATGATATGCTGATTGTTTGTAAGCGTGACCTATATCTTTTTCATCATTTTAATCCATCGAATGTCCCAAGCGCTCAGTCTCTGAATAACTTGATTCCCGCCTCGCTCCCTCTCAGTTCCTTCATGGAGAGAAAATCCCATCGAGCCTCTGGACGAGGACCCGTCCTTTATTCCCCCCGAGGTGAGCTGCATCTGAAATGTTAATAACTCTGCCCCTGAAAGGTTATCTCACTGAATAACTGACTGAATTGACTTCCCGTTAAAGCCGCTGGATGACAACGTGTTCTTGAAACGCCACTCGAAGCTGGAGTTGGACGAGAAGAGGAGGAAAAGGTTGATTGGCTTTTGATTCAAGAATCTGATAATTATCATCATTACTGGCTGATATTTGTTTATCCTATAAATTAAGTTGTTTTTGTCAAACATGTTATTGGAGTCAAGATTCAGTTCTTAGTGACGGACCTCCAGCAGTAAGTGGACATGACTCACTGGTCCCTTTTACATTGGTCCCCTGTGTGTCTTCAGGTGGGACATCCAGCGAATCAGAGAGCAGCGCATGTTTCAGCGTCTTCAGCAGCGGATGAACAGAAAGAAGGTCGTCCCGGAAATGGAGCCGGAGCTCTCGTCCTTCTACCCAGACACTGAAGACGGTACGTCCTCATCGCTCCACGAACAATGCAGACACAGTGATGGAATGCTTGTTTTTTAAAACTCAATTCATTTATTTCCGCCAGTTGAAACGATTGTGATCACTCCCTTCTTGCCCGTGGTTGCATTCGGCCGGCCGTTGCCCAAAGTCTCACAACAGTAAGTTCATCTTTTAAATCTGGTTCTTGCCATTTTACTGTGTGATGTTTGCTCATTCTAGCATGGTCCATACAGTTATTGGCATTGTAGTTATCTAATTTATATATATATATATATATATATATATATATATATATATATATATTTTTTTTTTTACCAAATCAGTGAAAGGAAAATGAGAGATGGGGAGGAAGTCGATGATTATTTGGCTGAAGCACATTTGTAAGACTTGTTGTTACTGGTTTGGTAATTAGTACATTTTATTCAGCCTGGAGTTTAATTACAGTCTGTCAGTGATTAAAAATAATACATAAACATCAAGTGTTTTAATACATGAACATTGAGTATTTCATCTTCCTGCAGGAACTTCGAGTTGCCCTGGCTGGACGAGCGAAGCCGCTGTCGCATCGAGGTGCCCAAAAAACACACTCCTCACCGGACGTGTCGGAAGTGAAGCCCGGAGAGATGTCGCTCCACGCTCTGATTAGAAAATGCTATATTTGTCTTGCCTGGTGTGTGTGGGGGTGGGATGGGACAAGGTGGGGGGGGCATGTTGCTGCGCAAGCCTGCTGTCGCTTTCAGTCTGAAGTCCCTGAGTGTCACCGCTGATCTCCTGCCGACTATTATACAAGCACGGGAGACGGCTCTTGGGTCTCTGGGGGAGATTGAAATGCAACCAGATTAGTCGCGTGTGAGCCGCTTCTGAAGACGCCTCAGCAGTTTAGGGACAGTTACGTGCATGTTCTGTAACAACGTTTAAAATGCATTTTGTAGCAGCTGGATTTAAAGGGAGGAAGTGGACTCTGTGATCGTTTAAAAGTCAAGCTGCCGCACATTATCGCACTGGTCGTCCTGCCACACTCGTTCCTCACGCCTGCGGGGAGGAACCATATCAAACCCAGAGTGTGTCGTGCTGCGTGTTGCCTTTTTTATTGTTGTTCGCACACAGCCTGAATTAAAATGTATTCGATGTTTGGTGTGTTTGCGCCACTCGGCATGATTTCCTAATCACCAAACGCCATTCTAGTTCAATACAACGCGAGGGGAAACTTCACAAAAAGCACCCGAATAGTTTTTTTCCGGAAAAGAATGCAGCGGATAATTCGCCGTGGGAAAACCCAGAGTTCAGGTCTAGTGTTTGTTTTTTAAGCGTGAGTTGCATGAACTCTATTTAACAGTTTCTAAAATCAAACATGCTAGCATGGCTTCGCCCCTCGAATGGAGAAGAACCCTCTGCTGCCCAAAAAAAACATGCAAACTAACGTTGTAAGCATGGCCGCCTTCTGATCTATAAAAGTACACACTCAGATCTCTGCGGCGCGCTTTCATGCAGTGAATATTAGCAGTCGTGTGTCTGGTCTCACGTTATCTGACCGTATAAAAGGCGACCGTTTTAGACGACAAGCTTCGTAGCCATAGTTCTGTAGATGTTCAGCAGTTTGCTCTTTGATGTGCTGCCGGTTATTCGCTCCCGTCGCGGCTTTTTCCATTTCTTTAAACGCGCGCGGCTCTCTGCAGCCTCAGCTCTTACACCGCCTGGTGAAATGCAAAGTTCAGTTTTTATTTCTTTCATTTAATGTACATAGCTTCCAGAAACAAATGTACATAAAACATGGCTGTTATTTTTTTATTATTTAATGTTGAGTACATTCAATATTGTTCTATGATTGTATGTTGACAAATTGACAGTTTTGAAAGTTGCATTCTTTTGGAATAAAATTAACATCTATGATATATTTGTTGGTGATGTGATCAAATGGAAAGTTTATGTAAAAAATGTGTATATAGATTACCTAAAAAACCTACAAAGCACACACATTGCATTGTGGGATATTTATTCCTCAGATCCAGAGCAACAAAGACTTCAAAGACCCAGAACATCTTTTGGCTGATAAACTAAACTTCATGTGCTTCTTGAAGTTTCTTCAAATCACAAAACAAGTTAGATATACTGTGAAAAAAGTTTATTGAGTAAAGAAAAAAACAGCCGACTCATTTGGTTAAAATCTTGAATGTCTCAAACACTGACAACATGAGTCACCAGTGACTGCAACTGAGGAGGAGTCAGCTTTCTTTATATATTTGTGTATAATAAACCGTCCCATGAGTGAATTTAGAAAGAAAGGATGTTGCGATTACCAAGTTGGTTCTCCCTCTCCAGCTGAATAAATATAACGAGGAGTCAAAAAGCTCACAACTGTCTACGAGGATGTTAAAAAGAAAACCAAACCAGTGCGATGGGGAAAAAGTACTGACATATAAAACATCCACGTCCTGCTACCAACCTTCCTTTGGGTTCTTTATTTTTTTTAGTGTTTATTTAAAGTGTGAAAAACAGAAGTTAGTATTTACACCGACTGCGAGACAAATGGTCACTTTCAGAGAATTTGAGTCATTTGGTTTCCGTTTTAGATGACAAGAAGCGCTGTGGAAGATAACAACCCTTACAAGGTTTTCCTTTTTTGTTGATATAACAAATCAGAACAAACAAAAGAAAACACCTTGGAAACAAAAAAAGCCACACACACACCTTTATAAACACAGCTCAAGTGTTCCGCCAGTTAATCCTTCCAAACAGTCTAAAACCCGTTTGTATTTAACGTGTTCAGTCTCTCCTGAGGTTATTCAGCCGCTCCTCCAGGTCGGCGTCGGCATCGGCCAGGGCGGCTTGAGGCTCCACCTTCTTCCCCCCGGCCACCGACAAGCTCCCCCCGGTGCTCGGCAGGTCTGGAATGAACGACGAAGAAGAATAAAATGTTTGTTTTTTTAAAAACTCCCACTAAAGAAGGAAGCGGGTTAAGAACGTGTCGGATGTTCTTACTTGACAGCTCGTCGGACAGATTGAGACCGAGCTCGTCCAGCACCTGGGACACGATGGCGTCGCTGTGCAGGAGGCAGAGACACAATTAGGGATGTCACGGGAGGAAGGAGATAAAAAAAGGGGGGGGGGGGGCGATTTTAAAAGAACACCTCTTAAATGCTGACACATTGCGTTACCTTTTTGACATTTGATGGAAAACAGACAGAGGAAAGTATTTTTTTATACACCGGCGGCCACTTACCTCTCGTCCTCGTCGTCCTCGTCGCCCATGGCGTCGTCGATGGCGTCGTTCATCATCTCCTCCTTCATGTCCATGATTTCGCTCTGCCGTTCAAAGTCCATCATGATCTTCTGAATCTGAGGCAGCTTCAGCTGCGGAGGAATTGACAAACATATTCACCGTTAACATCGGGGCGTTGGCGGGTCGTGACTCCATCGGTTGGGTTTGTCTCGGCAACCGACCTGTCTGTTCATGGTCGCCATGGCTTTGGTGACGCCCTTCATGGCCTGCGCCATGCTGTTGTTGGACTTCAGCGTCTGGATCTTTAGACTGACGGCCTGAATGTTGGCTTTCATCATGATGAACTTCTTCACGTAGCGCCGCGTGCGCACCAAGTCCTTGGCCATGATCTTGACGGCGTCCTGCGAGGATGAACACAACACGCCGCAGTTAGGATTACAGATCTTTCTCTCTCATTCTAAAACACTTTTTTTTTTTTTTTTTACTTGGTCCCACCATCTGTCCCTGTTTGGCCATTTTCTTGATGTCAGCGATGATCTTCTTCTCCTGCTGCTCCAGCTTCATTCGCTCCCGGTCCAGTTCCCTCATGGCTTTGTTCAGCGCCCTCTGATTCTGCCTCAGCATCTCCTCCGGAGTCTTCCTCTTTCCAAAAAGGAAGTCCATCTGATTGAAGAAAACAGGCCGTCAATACAGTCGAGTGAAGTACGTAGACCGAAAAATGAGGCTCTGGTTCGGCTTTTTTTGAGGCATTTCTATCTTATTCCGTATTTTACACTCTGTGATCTTGAAGAAGCTTCTCTTCTTGTCTAGTGTGTGATTAATTACTTGATTGAAAAAAATAACTGATAATGATCAGTGGTGGCATTAAGAAGTACATTTACTCAAATAATATGCACTTGTCTTGTGTAATTTAATTTTTTTTCTTGTGCCACGTTCTACTAACCAATGCATCTTGGGAAACATTATACTTTTACTTCACTATGTAAAACTTAGAACTTCAGGTACTTTAGAAATCATCACGTATCCCCATAAACACATTTGAAAACCTTTAATTTACAGTTGATTAGTTAATTAAAAAAAATCAATGTCACTTTCATGGTTCTAGCTTCACAATTGTGGAGATTTGCTGCTTTCCTTTTTAATAAAATGAATAGTTATTAGTAATGACCAAAACGACGATTGGTTTATCAATATTCTTAACCAATTCGAATGTGAATAAAATAGGAATCAGATTCATCTATAATAGAAATAATGATTAGTTAATGGTTCAAATTAGCTCCGTCTCTAAACTAATGACAGATGTTTTTTTAGGTTTAACACTTTATGTATATTATCCTGATTTACGCTATACTTACTATATCGTATGTAATGTGTGATACTTGTAACAGTGTGGCATCACAGTGTGATAGTAATACTTTTACCTAAGTCAAATCTCTGTACGTCCTGGTTTCCTAACACAAATCGGTCAGTTTGGAACTGTTAATCTATCGTTAACGTATCTTTGTTTCCTGGAAAATATTACTCAGCAGTTATGTGACTCAAGGCCCAAAGTCTCCGCTCAGCCGTGTCTCAGCCCCAACTGCCCGTCTCTCAAATCGGCCTCAACAACCTCTGAGAACCGTTCGCTCCACCACAACAGTGTGACCCCGGAATCCCGAGAGCGAACCTCGGCAGTGTGTCACTCTCACCGTGGTAACGAGTCGGTAATCCGGACGGTTAAACGGTGTTTAAGGCGTCTTCTTCGACTTCCAATCGACGCAGATTTGAACGAGTATTTGTTTTGTTTCCGTGACTTCCGTGTTGCAGTCCCGGAAATGACGTAATTGCGTATGGAAAAAATCCGGTTTCTTTTGTCGGTTCACGCACGAACTTGAAGAAGAAACAAAAGCTTTCAAAGTAAAATACTTTATTTCATAAATTAGTGATATTAACTTTAACACTTGCAACAGAGGAAATGTATTTAAATATTGAGACCAGAAGGTACTCTTAAAATACTCTTAAACAACTTAAACTTAAAGTCAATCCTTTTATTTGATTTAATTGTTTTAAAATTTCCGACGTAAATATATGTTAATGTTAAGTTATCAATACTGCTGCATATGTTGTGTATTTGTAGGAACAAGGTTCACTTTTTGTCATCGTATAACACGGGTATGAGAGTGTTAGTTCGTTTATCCTACACAAGAAACAAAAAGAAAACATTTAAATGTGTTTAAACTGTTTCATAAATGTAAAACAGATTTTATTTTGTAGGTGAAAAAGCTCAAGATCCGGTCATATTCTCGCCCGCTTTTATAAGTGGATTCCACGTGCGTAGAGGCTGCACGGACGACATGCCAGCAATGGATGCCGATGGAAAAGCGCTGAAGGTTGAACCTGCGGACACAACTTTTAGGAACTAATGAACTCAGCACCGCGGGACATATTCACGCGCATTCCAACATGTGGGTTCTCAGCAGGGCACATCAGCGCGAGCTCCTCCTCCTTTGGACGAGAGGACGACTCCCTCAGTCTGCCTCTCACCATGTCTCTGCGTCTCTCCTGTTCCCGGAGGACGGCAGCATCGAACCCGCGGCGAAAAGTCGGCGCGGGGCGTCGGGTACCTCCAATGACCAACGCAAGAATGTGGGGTCTGATGGTTGGCAGAGACAGGAGAGGTCAGCGCACAGTAAAACTTGGAAAAAGGAGAGCCCGGTGGGGCAGAGGAGGGAAGGGGACAGCAGAGTGTCCTCTGAGCTCAGGAGATTGAGTCTGGATGACTTCCCTGCAGAAAAGGAGAAGATGGCAGGACAGAAGTCCACGCCGTACGCCAGGGAAGCGCCCTACGAGGTCGTCTTTGGGGTTGCCCCCTGCCTCTTGGCTCTCACTCAGGGCCGAAGGAGGGCCAGAAAGCTGTTCGTCAAAGACGGCGAGGCCTCCCACCGGGCCTCCGTGTTGGAGGTGTGCGAGGAGGCCCATCGGCGAGGCGTTCAGGTGCAGCGGATCAGCAAGAAAGATCTGGACAAGATGTCCTCCGGCCGAGTGCATCAAGGGGTTTGTCTGCAGGCGAGTCCTCTGGCCTACCTCGTTGAAGACAGGGACTCCCCCGCCCCCACCGGGAGAGAGCCCCCCCTCTGGCTCGTCCTGGAGCGGGTTCAGGACCCGATGAATCTCGGCGCCATCCTGCGCTCGGCGTACTTCCTGGGTGTGGACAGGGTCGCCAGCAGTCTCCGCCACAGCTGCCCGCTGTCTCCTGTGGTCAGCAAGGCCAGCTCGGGGGTCATGGAGGTGATCGGGGTGTACGGGTACGAGAGCCTCGAAGACATGCTGAAGGTGAAGGTGGCGCGGGGCTGGCACGTGGTTGGCACGGTGGGGGCCGGGGCGGAGGAGCCCCCGATCCCCGTGACCTCCTGTTCGGACTTTCGGATGACCAGACCCACGGTGTTGTTGATGGGGGGCGAGGGGGAGGGGCTGTCCCGGGAGCTGCTCTCTCTGTGCCAAACCCTCCTCACCATCCCGGCTGGCAGGGAGCTCTTCCCTGGTGTGGAGTCGCTCAACGTCTCCGTGGCTTCGGGCATTCTGCTGCACGCTCTGCTGTCCTCCAGGGGCTCCGCTGGACGATGATCGCCCTAAGGGGGAGGGGTGGTGTTTATCTGGTTCTGAAACTCAGTTTAGCCCTGATCCTCTATGAGACCTCAGTAAACGAGACGAGAGAAGTTTGTTTATTTCTACATACTTCTCCTTAGCGCTCGTCATCGGTTTCACTGGGTCGCTGAGTCTTTTGAGACCAGATGACGTCATGCAGGTTTACCAGAGCCTCCTTCTGCAGAGACCAGTCCACCGTGGACCAACCCAGATCCGGCTTCACCCATCCATGGACCTGCTATAAGAGCTCCAGAGGGAAGAGGAGAGCTCCGCTCCCCACGGCAGCAGCACCGACTCCTTCAGGAGCTTCTCCTCTTTGGGAGCCAACACCACGCTACGGGGGAGGGAGGCCCAAAACAACCAGAAATCAATAATAAAAAAAGATGGTGATGTTCAATATTTGCAACTTCTGTCTGTAAATTATGATAACGAATGTGTAATAAGTATAAAAGCCTGGTGTCTTCTTCCGCTGAGCAGTAGAGCTCCATTAAAAACCTATTAATATGCTTCTCTGTTGATTATTCATCACAATGATTGCACGCACACAATCCTACTGCCACAACATTTTTTAACTTTGTATGAGTGGCCATATTTCAAAGGTTTACGTCCCCAGAAGAATAGAAAAGTCTGATGGTGTTTTTCCGCAAAGAATTGCTTGCATCCTCGTCTCCTTGTGACCGGGAGAGTGAATCAGCGCTTCATCTTGGCGGTCGTCCCGATTCCTTCAATTGCATCTCGACAAAGTGCATTTCAACCACTCACATCTCCCGTGGGTGGGACTGAGATGTGAGGAAAGGAATTGAGGATGCACAATCTGAGAAACGGAACGCAAAATCATTCTTCTGCTGGGATAGTTTGACTGTAGGAAAATTATAGAATACTTTAAACCAGACCCCTTTAAAATGCAGAGGAGTAAGACCTTGTATTTCACATAAATAGCTCTATACCGTGTTGATTTATGTACATTGTTTCTACTGTTTTTGTCTTGGTCTGTGTCCTTGCCTCCTGGCACAAACTTTGGCTCACTCCAGTTTATCCTAAAATGGTTGAAGGGGATTCGTTACACATGTTTTTTCTAATTATGTTTGATACCATGAAGATACTTTTTTGAAAAAAAAGCTACTGCTGAGGGATATACTTATGTTGGCCTTCTGTTCTGTTCTATACCGGTAACGACAGAGACTGATGTTTAAACAGAAAGACCATTTCCCCCAACAGGTAGTCACTGGGTCAGGAGGTCATGTATGATACACTAGAGACGTGTTCTATTAAGAAATGTCATACTATTAGCCACTTATTTTCAAACCTTTGTTAAATATATACAGTGAATGACTGAAGAAAGCATTAGTTATTTATCTGTTATCATATATTTTGGGATTTTATTTTTTATTTATGTTTGATAGAAAAATATATAGGTATTAACAATAATAATACATTACAAAATAATAGAAACAGTAATCATAACTCCACAGACCTTCTCCACACGGCGGCGGTACGGAGGAGCAGAGCTGCCGACGAGCCAGCCTGATGACCGGGGGAAGAAGAGTAGCGCACACAATGCACCGCTCCGGCTGACAAGGGTTGTGTCTCCCTGTTTTTCACGATAAATTTCCAATTCCGTGGAAACTTGTGACGGGGAAGCAGCGGGGCCGCTTTGCCTCCCTCCTTGTGCTTGTGCGGTCTATCTGGATTCAGCGAGAATAACAAACACCTTTGACCGGAAACGTTGGCGAGTGGTCCTCCCTCAACTTAATCCTATACATTGGATTACACTGCGAAGGAGGCTGCATGAAGGACCTGCCCAGCCCGACGGGGGCTTGGCCGACACCCTCGTTTATGGAAATCGACACCGAGGCTTTGATATTTGGGCCTCGATTTTTTTCTTCTTCTTCCTCTTTATGAAGGAGATAAAACCAAAGAAGGGTGGTGTGTAGAGAAACGAGATATTATTATTTTGAGGAAACGCGATCTTCTTCCTCCCCATCAGAAACAAAACAAACAGAAAGGTTCTTGATTGTGGCTAACAGCTGGAATCGGCTAACGCTAGCTAGCCAGAGTGCTAACGTTACGTCTTTCTTTTGATGTGATGCGAATTCAACCATTACTATCGGCCATCAACATTTCGGCAGGAGAAACCTCTTTTATTCTCTCGGCTGTGGAACATTAGTTAGCTTCACGGTAAACTGTCCGGCGTGTCAGCCTTTCCAGACATGTTTTAAGAATATAGTTTTATTCTTCGGTCGCTGGCTGGATATATTGTAATGTATTTGGTTAGCTGTGTGCATGCTAACCGAATGAGCAAAAAGCTAAGTGGCTGTAATCAACACTGACCTAACGTTAGCTACCACTAGCATTACTTAACCTCAACAAGATAAGATTATTTTACTCCCGTTTGGTTTGTGAGTAAATTGCACCCGTTGTCAACTTGACCAGTTCATATTTCACTTAAATACCTACATATTTTCGTGACCACTGGTGTGTTACTTTAATATCTGGGTCGTTGGCCTTGCTAACCAAACCAGCTAACCGTATCATTTTGCTAACAGGCAAATAAATGTGTCAGCGTGTGCAAATATTTAGGGAATTCAACATGCGAGAGTTGTATTCAGCGATGCCAACATTGGCGTGATTTTCATTTTCAAATGTATTGAGCGGGGATTTGACCCGCTTTGTCCGTCGCACAACTAGGATTGTATCTTGTTTTTGTTGTTTACATGCATATAACTTCTGTAGTCGGTCGCTAGCCAGCTAATGTTAGCCTTCTCCGGGACGCGGAGCGATATGTCCTGACATTTAAGTGTGTTTTAAATCCCCGGGTGCAGTGACGATTGCGTGCGGATTCATTGAAATGACACTCAAATTCCGCCGAAAGAGAGGCACTGATGCCGAGAGAATGTTGTCAAAGGACGGCGAATAATAGCCACTGGTTCCATTAACGCCATTTTAACCGGGGCTCCCTGCTAGGGGCCTGTGTGGTGTTGTTTTTATTTGCGGTTCGGTGCCTTCCACCGGACCGGCAGGGTGGGGGACTTGAACGAAAGTGCCCTTTTGGTCCCACTGGAGTTGCTAAACGAGCTGCCGCAAGAAGCATGGAGGGCCCGAGCCGAAGCGCTGGATTCCGGCAGAGCCGACGGTCTCGATCACAGCGCGACAGGGAGCGGCGGAGGAGGAGAGTGGACCGGGCGGAGCAGCGGGCCGCGTCCCTGTCCTCCGGCTCCGATCGGGAGGCTCTCGGGACGAACAGCGTGCTGGGTCCCGGGGGGAGAGAATGCCGCCCAGGTGTCGGGAGACACAAGCCTCCGCGCCGGAGGAAGAGAGAGTCGGTGTCCTGCGAGGAGGACATCATCGATGGCTTCGCTATTGCGAGCTTTGTCAGCCTGGAGGCTTTGGAGGTGAATATCAGCTGTCATTAATAAAATAGCATTGTTATGTTTCTATCCACAAAGTGATGCATACGTCTTTAATGAAGTGAGACAAAGTCATTTTGCCTTTTTTAATATCTGTGTGTGATTCACAACATTTTCATCATTGTTGTCTTTTGTACCCTCTATCACTTCATATCAAGTGTCTGTCCTGCTGCAAAGGGGGTAAAAAAAAGCCTTCTGATTGAACTCAACTGTTGACACTCTCGCTTGGAGAGAGCGCAATCCGCTCAGGCCAACCCCAAGGCATCCATCCCTCTGATGGCTTCTGGAGAGGCCTCAATTATTCATGTCCTAATTCAACGAGGTGTTGACGAGCTGCCAAATGGCTGTTTAGACTAAGAAAGAAATATTTAATCCCAAAGACTGTATTTAAATGAGTGTAGTTATCTATCAATCAACACAATAGCAGTTTTTGGTACTTGGACCACGGCTCTTCACCTCCGGTGTCAGTACTAAAACCACTCTGCCACTCTGAATTTGAAGCTTTAATACATGGTACTAAACTATGCACGTGGCACAATTGGCATTCTGAAATGAATACCGTTATGTGTTATGGGAGGATCTGATGGAGTTTAACCTCAGTGGCGGGACAGGAAACAAAATGATTGTGTTATAAGTTACAGTTTGTTCCAGTATACTCCTGGGTAACTTGATTTTAGAGTCAAATCACTCATGAATGCCACTGTTGTCGGTTGGCTATTCCCTACAAACTGCTAATAACAAGAAGTAAACATACCAGCCAAAAAATGGAATGTAGCAATTTCCTGGCCAAATTTATTAACAGCGGTAGGATTTCATTAAAAAAAACAAGCAAAAAAAAACCGGGCAAGCTGTGGTGACCTTCATGTTGAGCCACATGCTCTTCAGTTTGATTTATTCCTTTTTCCTGAGGTATTGTTTTAAGAACACAAATTTTAAGGGGGCAACCGAATGGAATCGTTTTAAATTTTAAAAATTGACGTGGTATATTTGCTGTAACATCCTCTTGTAGTTTCCAGACATTTTATCCGACAAACGTTTATTTAAATCAACTCTCTATTTCACTAACACACTACACATACAAACAATCCCCAAAGCATAATCTCAAATCAAAAACGGGTCGTATTAAAGGTAATATTTTCTGGTACTTCACAAGAAGAACAGCAAAAACAGATGGGAACCTCTATAAACTACAGTTTGCTTAATACCTCTGTGTTTTTGTGTTGTTGACGTTTGTCAGACGTATTGATTCAACATTACAGAGTTTTTTTTTTCCCCCAATACTACACCACTCCAAAGTGAAGTCTCAATGCATAATTAAATCCACACTCAGCGGTAGCGTCACGCGGGCTGTTGTTTCATCAGATTATTGTGGCGTTTCTATTTTTGCCGTTACTCAAGATTAGAATCCGTACACAATATTGGCTCTGTCGGGACATTAATCCGCCTTAATGCAAGCGCCTGCACGCACACACACATTCGCTCTGGTGACCGGACCTGTAAACACAGAATATTTGTATTCTCTCTCTTATCAGATGGACTGCTCTCTGAAGCCCAGTCAGCGCACTGACATGCTGGGAAGGAGGAACAAGGGGAAGAGGGGGCTGGAGGAGAACGGCGGAGGGCCGCTGTCGGAGCCCGAAGAAGGAGCCCCGCACAGCTACTCCAGCAGCTGTTGGAACAAGAGTAAAAATAAGAGGAGGAAGATTGAGGTGAGCCAACGGCTCGTGGCTCTTCAGGGCTCGAATGTGTTCTTTCTCCATCAGACGGAAATGTTTACATATGTGTCGTGCTTCCTCTTACTCTAATATCCTGCCGTTGAATTAATGAGGAAATTGACGGGGAAATTGATTTCCACCGCTTATAACTTAAGGGTGTTTTTTGGTAGTGAAAGCGTGCTTATTTTAATCCCTGTTAATAATTAACTTATTTTACATACTTTCTTCGCCCTAGGGACACCCTTTGGAGACCGGCTATATCGTAAGTTTATTTTTAAATATTATAGTGAAGTCGATGACGGTGCATTTCTGAAAAATTCTCTAAAATCTGTTTTCCTAAATAGCCTAATGGGTGCAAATCTGTTTTGTCTTTCAGTGTGACACTGAGAGTGATACAGGAGATAAGGTGTGTAGCAACTACCTCTGATTTTAATACTATTCAGAGCTTTATTTTCTTGATCGGTCATGAGTGTGTAACGGGACACTTGCTATATTTTGTTTAAAAAAAAGAAGAAGAAAAGAACACACCAAAAAAAGTTTAAGGGTCATATAATTGACTATGGCTCCTGATGTGATCTATAAAATAAATTAGTGTGTCTTGAGTGTAAATTAAATGATAATTTGTGTCCCCATCTAGGCCTCCGACAACGACGTGGACCCTGTCTTCACAGTTAGTACGAGGAAAGGTACGAGAAGTTTCCAAATAAATATTAAATACTATTTATTCTGGTTTATTTGGGACTGTCTGACTCTCCTTGGTATTTAGATTGGATTCCCTTCTTTGACACTTTATAAATGTGTGACTGAGTCACCTTTTCACTTACTGTCACTCTGTACTATGATGTGCAAGAGAGCCACAACGCTGACATTTCTTTAAAAACATTTTTTATTTTTTTGTTGTTAGTCGCAGAACCCACCCCCTCAAACATGGCCACATCCATTGGAAAAATCTGTCCGCCCCTTCCGGCCCGCTGCGGCGGCGGCATCTCGCGGCTGATGGTGACGCCAAGAGTCTCCGGCCTGGAACGAAGCCAAGAGAAAAACCTGGAGCAGCATTTCCCGGAGCCCGTTTCTTCTTCTACCTCTTCTGCCTCCTTCTCTTGCCTGCCTTCCTCTGTCACCGCATCGGGCGCGGTACCGTGCTCCGGCCCGTTCAACGGCGGCCGCCACCACAACGGCAGCCCGCCGCTCTCCAAGCCCAAGCCCAAACCCTTCCACACTCTGCCGGGCCGATCTCACTCCATCTACAACATCAACAGGTTCCAGGATTATTCATTTCCGTTGCTATGAATTTCTTTTTCCACTTTCGATTTAGTTATTTACACTTTTTCTTCTTCTTCTCAGGAATATCACGCCGGTCAAACCTCCATCGGCTTCCTCAGTCGCGTCTTCCTCTTCCTCCATGCGCCCCCCGACTCCTTCCACCAGCGTGCCGCTGCCCTACTTCAGGAGCTCGGGATCCTCAGGGCCCCTCCGACCCCCGTCCCGAGCCGGCGCCGGGGCCTTGTTCGCTTCCTCGCCCGGCCTTCCTCCGCCCCCACCTCTGCTACAAGGCCCCGGCCACTCTACCGCCGCAGGTACAGTGGACGGCAGTTCTGCTTTTATATCGCGCAACTGAAATAAAGCAAACTCTCACTTCCTCCGGCGGTTGTCTGGGATTTTGAGGAAGTTTTAAATCAATGAAGAGATGTCTAACCTCACCAGTACTTTAAAAGTGTAGCGTTCTCTCACTGTGTTGTGTGTTTGTCCGGCTTGCTGAGCAGCACCTTCAAAGTCACACATTTTGACACGCAATTTTAAAAAAATACATAAAACATATTTTGTATGGCTTGTACAATGTTTAACTATTTTAATTCCTCTCCCTTGTTTTTTATTTTTATTTCCCCGTCGCTGTAGACCAAGAATTAATGCGACAGAACTTGAACTCCCACTTCTTGAATTCACAAGAGCGCGAGGGCCGACGCAGCGTCCCGGGGGCTGAGAGCAGCGGCAGCAACAACAACAGCAACGCGGCGGCCACGGGGCGATCCACCCCCGGCGGTCAGCCAGCATCAAACTCCGGACCGGGTTCGTCGGGCCGGTCGTCCCAGAACCAACCGAGCATCCCGCCCATGGCCTTCCAGTTCCATCAGCACAACCACCAGCACCAACACACTCACACGCACCAACACTTCACGCCCTTCCTGCACCCCACGGCCAGCGCGCCGCCTCTGGTGAGACGCTCACTGAATGTGGACCGTTGCTCTTTTAGCTATTAAAAAAAATGCATTAACCCATGCACTGTTTCTCACTGTCTTTTTTTTTTTTTTTAGTTTGATAAGTATCCGGGCAAAATGGACGGACTGTACCGACACCCCGTGAGTACTTTGATATTTGCTGATAATAATTTACAGATTAGGTCAATAAATCCCTAAAAAAAATCGCGACTAAGGACAAATCTTAACGTTTTTTTAAGGAACACTTTCAAACAAGACGATTTAAAGTGCAACATTTAAATGCCTTGTGTGTGTGTGTGTGTGTGTTTTGTTATGCTAGTTCTTCCCACAGTACCCACCGCCCTCAGTGCCGAGTATCCAGCCGGTGATTCCTCCCACTGGGCCTTTCGGCTCCGTGCAGGGAGCCTTTCAGCCAAAGGTGAGAAGAAATCTCTCTGCACGTGTTGATAATCTTGTGCAGCCACACGGTGAAATTATTGTCTCAATTATGATCAGTGTGTTTGACAGAACAGATATTTCTCATTGGAGGGTAATAGTGTTGAACCTTTCAAAGCAGGCGTCCTGCAAGCCTTCATAGTGATTCTGCCTTTTTAAACTCCTGTAAGCTTAAGCTGGCCATATGCTGTACCCTTTCTCCTTTATTTGGACTATACGAGTAAATTGGCTGCGTCGTTTCAGGATTCATGAGCTCACGCTCTTCGGATCGATGGTCGAGCCACAACTTATCCTGTTCATTTTAAATAAGTATTTGTTTCCATATTTTACAACCTGCTGAATTTATTAAGAGTTCTTCTGATGTAAATTTTAGAAGAACTTAATTCAGATATAAAGATGTTTTTTCCCGGTGTCTGACCGTTAATGATATTAATGTTATTAAGAAGTACCTAAAGTCAATAACCCCCAGTCACACATAATCCAAGGTATGCTCACTTCTCATTGGATTTATATATTTCTACAGCCAGGAAATCTATTTCAGCATCAGGACACGTCCAAAGAATTAAAAACCAAAAGATTATCTTAAATTTGAACGAAACAAAAAGGCAGTTTTTTCATGTGTGTGGGACGTCCTCTTTTCTCTCAGGGAGCCGGTCCCGACATCAACGGACGACTCGGGGTTGTGCCTCCCCACCTGCAGCCCAAAGACCCCCGGGTAAGGATCACATGCTCGCCTACGACCGCGAGGTCCTCCCCCGTCTCCTCCCTTGCATTGCGTGGAACAACCAACGGTTTAGGTCTAGGATGTGCTGCCACGTGGGCCTAGTCAGTGCAGGGAGGAGTGCAGCAAGAACATTGCTGACCAGCAGTGTGACGTGTGAATTAAAAGTGTTTTCTACACTTGTGTTTCCTTTTAGTTAACTGATCCATTTGGGACATCGTTGAGATTCAGTAATGTAAGCAAAATCCCATGTTTTTGAACCCCTTCGCTCCTCAACAGCTTCAGCCTGTTTTGACTTTCTCACTGCTTCACTCGCTCTCTGCACTAATCTCACCTGTAATCCTGACTGCTACTGGTCTATGCTCTCCACACCCAGTTAGGTATTTCAGAAGACACCCTGTTCATCATGTGCGTGATTGCTCTCCCCCCTCCCTGCCTCCCGCCACTGTGATTTTTCTTGAATCCTCGCTTACACATTTTTCACGGCGCTCTTTTTCAAAATTATTCCCAAACTTAAAACTGAGCTGTAGTGGTTAAACCGTATCTCCAGTTGGAAAAAAAACAACAACGCCAACCTTGTGTGGCGGCCGAACAGGAAGCACATCTGGCTCTGTGTGAAGGCTTTCAAAGCCGCACACACTCAAGATTCTCAGGTATAACATCGTGAACCTCTTGTGATCTCTTGTGCTGTGCAGAAACCAGGGAAGTGGTGTGCTATGCATGTGTATGTGGCCTGGATGATTCTGAGCCATCAGAAGAAAGTGAAGGTACCTGTTTATTTTTTATTTAGTGTTTTAGAGAATGAAGTCAGCGAGTGACGAAGTGTGCGGTGACACCTTTTTTTTTTTTTTTCAAATCCTTGTCTCTTTCAGCTTATGCGCGCCGATCCTCACAAGTTAGACTTCCGCAATGACCTGCTGGCCCGTCTTCCTGGAGCCGGAGCACTGGGACCAATGGGAGGAGCCATTCCGCCCACTCACGATCTCACCAGACCTCCCAGTCTGTTCTCAGCTGCAGGTGCTTGTTTCAGAAAAAAAATAGGGGAGAGTTTTCTGCTTTATTTGGGGGGAATATTTTCTTTGGTTAATATTTCAGGACTCTTTTTCTGATTCCAAATCTCCCCCCTCCCCCCCACACGGTCCCCATGTTAGCCATTAGCTACATGCCATGGATTTGATCAATGTTGACATTATTTAACTTTTTACCTATTTCTTCTCAGGGCCAGTCAATCCGTCGTCCTCTCCTTTCATCTCTCCATCGACGCCCCACTCCTCTTTCCTCCCACCAACAGCACACTTGGGTAAGAGGCGCTTCAAAAGGCACATCTGTATGCCACTTGGCGACCACAACGACCCTCGCTCCCATTTACATACTTTTTCTAAGATGAATGGAAACCACTGTTCCTAAAACAGCCCGTCCCTCTCCTTCCTGCTGCAGACGTTTTAGAAGTATTGGCACTGCTTCAGACCTGTGTAGAAATAAACTGTTGCATAAAAACACAGTATTTGTGACGTTTTAATTTTCTTTTGTGTATTGTAGATCCATACGGCCGATCCCCCCCCTTCACTCTGGGGGCCCTTGGTTCTGGTGCCTTCGGAGGACTCGGAAGCCCAACACTGGGTCAGTATCACAGGTTCTCTCCCCTTAGAACGGAAGGCTTATAGGAAAGTTTTGCCTCATAATATATACATAACAGGCGCCTCTGAGCACCTGATTGAGGGGACGATTTATACTGGTGGGTCAAAAAATGGTCCTTAGAATATGGGGGGCATGTTTGTGTGTTTATTAGGATTGCAACAAAATATTTTTCAGACAACTCGAGTGATCAAATAGTCGCTTCATACCATCCACCCCAAAAGAGAAAGTGCTCGTTGGGACTGGAAAGCTCTGTGGTTATGTTTTAGCTTCAGGGACACGGCGAGTCCAGTTTGACGAGATAGCGCTTTAATGAGACCGGAGTTTCTCGTCCGGCGGCGGTGTGGCAGTCGTCCTCTTTTGTTTGTGACGTCAGAAACACGGTGTAATTTCACAGGAATGTCCTCTTGCTTGTATTCGATTGGCTGCTGCAGCGCCTCGTCGGGTCAACTGCGTCAAGCAGAAAAAAGGTGTTTCAGAGATGAGGACGATGTCTTTTGGGTACCAAAGTCTCACCTCAGAAGACCCCTTTTCTCCAACTGGGCTGCTGAAGCCTCACACTGGCCTGGCTGAACTTTAGTCCCACAAGGAGGGGTCGCGTCAACGTGTGAACAATCACATATAAACCAGTACCTCAACATGTCAACGTTTATCTCGGGTTTGCAATTACGCCTCGTGTTCGGGGATGTTTGGAATACTTGTTGCACCTGCATCATCACAAGTGTGTTGAAACCGGAGCCGGTGTACGGAATGTAAAGCCGCTTTACTCCATGGATAAAAAACGTTGGGGGTGCCTCAAGTCGATGATACACCTACATGCAAGCCTTTGATTCTCATTAGAGCGACTTCTTGTTTTCTCTTCTTATCGTGCATCTCAGTGAGATACTGTGAATACAGGGTCCGATTGTATACCATGAGCAAAGAACTGAACTCTTGTGGTCTTTCTTGACTGTATACGACAACAGATGTTATTTGAGAAGCTGGGACCTGGTTCTGATAAATCCATATTGGGAGTGTTACGTTTTCAAAGGCAGTTTTGGTCTCCGTTTGGGTTTTTCAAATCTATGAAATATATTTATTTACTTTTTTAAATTTAAGAGTTGCATTCACATGGTCACGGGGCATTTCTAACGACAATTGTGACTGTTGCATGACGTCACAAAAAAAAGGTGTAAAAGTTGTAAATATTTAACGAGTGAATATGACTAAATTATAGAAGCCACAATGATTATGAGGGTCAGATGAGTGAGGCACAACACAAAGGTAGAAAGTGTCGGTTGCCCGTTTACTGATTCGCATGAGGTGAAAAACAACCAAATACACGTATTGACTATTGATTGCAGACCAAATACGTTAGACTTGATTATTTGGAAAAGACATTTCCTTTTGCACCAGAAGTTGTTCAGGCAATACTAGCAAGTTCTCAGTTGGACTTCAAAGTTTCTGCTCCTCCTTTTAAAACAAAAGTCCTGCTCAGCAGGATAACAGGTGCTAACAGAGTCTGATGTGGATTTCGTAAAACATTTTAATTTGAACCTTTTACTTCCACACATTTTCTTCTTCTTCTAACTGAGAATATGTCTTCTTTTTTGAAATTTTTTATTCTCGATCAGGATCTGTGTTTGGCCCTAAAGATCCACCAGCCGGCGTGGTGGGGGGCCTGCCCACCCCCAACCACCACGACCCTTGGAACCGCCTGCACGGCGGGCCGTCCGGCTTTGCACCCGGCCCCAGCTGGGCCAAAGGGGCGGACAAGCGGGACGAACGGGACCGAGCGAAGGACCTGGAAAGGAGAGACATCCCCCACATCAAGGATGAGAAGGATCGGTATGATGTGATTTTAGTTGTTCACATATTTTGGTATCGTTTTTATATATGGACACAGAATCGTTTTCTGGTATAAAAGGAGAGAAAGCGTGGTACGTTTTTATTTAATTTTCTATGATGACCGCTGTCGCCATCATCAATCACTGTAGCCCCGCCCCAAAGCAAACCCAGCTTAATGGTCTATTTGATTCGAAATAAACCATGATTTACTAAATGAACATTATGCTAAATTGAAGAAAACTAGAGATTGAGACCATAAACTTTTGTTCACAATGTATACTCATGGAATAAATCAAGAGAGAAGTGATCCTTTCAAGACTTCAATACTATTGGTCTGCTTCTTGCATCTGGAGTCGCCTCCTGCTGGTCTGTAGACGCAATGAAAGTTTTATGAGACTTTTGCATTGACTTCCCTCAGGAGAGCCAGATGTCATTAATTATAGAACCCAATGCAATACAGGCTTTCAGGGGATCTCAGGTGCCAATTATGTATGTGAGACACTGATCCACAGACAGTCCTGTCATCACAGGTCCGAGTGATGTAGAGCGGCCTGTCAGGAGGAAATATGCAACAAGCCAAAACTCAAAATAGAATTTACCAAACACGACAAACACGTTGAAAGCTGAAAAATGTGTGTGCGTTAGTAATTCATAAACTGTAGTCAAAAGGATTAAATACAAGAATTGGAAACGGATATCATTCCATCAACATTATGTTTTGCAGAGACAATATGCTGTACGGCCGGCAACCTGTGAGAATGTCTCCAGTTGCCCCCAACTTCAAGCCCCGCAGTAGCACCCCGATCTCCCACACCAACGGCCACAGCAGCACCCTGGGGGGAGGCGGCGCCGGGCCAATCGAGGACCCGACGCGCAGCCTAAGCCGAGACAGAGACCGAGAGCGAGACGGGGACAAGAGGACGCCACAGCCCGCGTCGTCGTCACGCGGACCTCCCTCGTCTCTCGTAGCCGACCGCGATAGGCCGCGGTCTTCTTCGTCCTCCGTGCTCACTACCCCGCCGCCCGCCAACCGCACGGCCCCGTCTCCCATGGAGCATTACTCGCGGCCGATTGTGCCCACGGGTCACGCCGCCCACGGCGAACCCTCGCACTTGCAGAGGGACGGGAATCTCGCTTCCTCCTCCGCGGCCTCCGCGTCCGTGGCTTCTCTGTCTCAGGCCAAGAAGTCCGACCGGACCGCCACGCCCGTCTCCTCCAAGCCGCCGCTGCTCCTCCCGCCGGTCAAAGTGAAGGAGGAGCGCAAAGAAGAGCCAGAGCACATCCCCATCACCCTGCCCCCCCCGGCACCCAACCACAGCTTCGAGCGCCCCAACAGCCATCCGCACCACCATCGCTCCGGTACCCCCTCCTCTTCCTCTCTGTCGCTGACTCCCACCCCCGGTGTTCCCCACATGCCACCCAACCCGCCTTCCCACCCGCACCTGGCCATGCTGGACCGCTCCCGGGCCATCGAGGCGTACCTGGGGAGCACGGGTGCCGCGGGTTTGATGATGGGTCCGGGAGGAGAGCGTTTCCACCACGGACAGGGACCGCCACAAGGTCCGCACAGCTACACCTGGGACCCCTGGAGGGAGCTGGCGGCTCAGCAGCACCATCAGCACCGCAGGGAGGCGATGGCACTCCGGTCTGACCCGCATCTGGCCCGACTGCTCCAGCATCAGCGCCTCATGGAGGCGGAGCGGGCGTCCAACCCTCACCACCCTCAGACATCTACCTCTTCCGCCTCCGCCGTCCGCCAGGAGTTTGGCCTCATGGCCCACCACTTTGACCGCGGCCACCACCTGGGACCCCCGGGGGGAGGGCTCATCGACGAGGAGCAGCGCGCCCAGATCCTGAGGGAAGACTTTGAGCGCGCTCGCTACTTCGGGATGCATCCGCACATCCCTCACGGCGCTCACCTCTCAGGCCCCTCCCACGCCGCCACAGCTGCGCACCTGGAGCAGCTCCACCCCGGCCTGCTCGCGCACTCGCTCCACCACGGGGCCTCCCCCGCCGCCCAGCACCACGCCGGCCTCTTTGCCCGCCTCGGCCAGCTGAACCCGCACCACGTTCCCAACGGCATCCTGGCCAAGACCCCCTCGGGCTTGGTGGGTGCCCTGGCGGTGGGGGCGCCGCCTCCGCTCATTCCGTCCATCACCAGTCGGTCGTCCACGCCGCCGAGGAGGCTTGGCGGGCCTGGTGAGCTGGCGGCTCTGTACAGCGCCCACAAGGATGGAGAGTCCAGATAGTACAGGGACAACAGTGGAGGAGATGAAGGGAAATGTCAGGATCACTGTGCTGCTCTCCACCCCCCACCCCCAATCCCCCACCCCCCTCCTTTCCACCTTCAGACTAATAAACCCGGCCCTCCCAGTTGCTGGCTGGAGGTGCCGGATGGGAGGAAAATGCAAGACTCATCAGAGTGACTTGAAACGCGTTGTGCGGCGGTTCTCTCGATCAGTTTAAGGGCGCACGGCCTCCGTGCAGCCGCTGTGTATTTCCGTGTTGCGGTTGCTGTCGGTAACCACGGTGATTTACATTTTCAGATCCACTTTTTTCTGCTCAGCGAGTCGGGAGGGGGGGGGTTTGATGACTTCCAAGAGGGCGGGCACTGTGAATGCACGCAACCCCCCGATTAGGTGTTGTGGACCCTCGTCTGTTTTTTTTTTTAATGGTGGTTTCTTGTCTTTTTGTGTCTTTCCTTAATATCTTGTCACGGTGGGAAAAGACTGCTTACCAATGAGACCACACCTCACTTTCCTGTTTCACCCCTCGGCTTCACTGATAAAGAGATTCAACCTTTTTTTTTCATTTTCAAAGGATGAGCGGTGGCTAAATTGTGTGTGTGTGGCTGTGTGTGGCTGTGTGTGTGTGTGGCTGTGTGTGTGTGTGGCTGTGTGTGTGTGTGGCTGTGTGTGTGTGTGAGAGAGAGACCATGTTTTTTTTTTTTTTGTTTGTTGTTTTTTAGAGCTTCCGGTTACCGTCTGCCACTCTCCTCTTGACTATACGAGCAGGACCAGATTATAGTAGTCTAGAGAAATTGCCTTTGTAATTATTATTCTCAACATTAATTATCTTCTATAATAATAAATATATTCACTGTTATGTTATTTGTATTTGTTTCGGGTATGAACCAGTTCTCTCTCTCTCTCCCAGGTAGTAGTTTCAAATCACACAAGAGGCTCGCGTCACAAAAAAAAGTTTAGTACTCGTGGACATGAAGCCGTGTCTCTGTGCCTGCCTGCGTCATTGGTTGTGTGTTATATCCATTTTGGGACTATTTAGAGCCTTGTACATTGAACTGTTGAGTTGTTTCATCAAAAAAGTAAGTTATATACGGGGATGAATGAGACATCTGCTGAAGAATGGAGGGGGAAAAAAGGATATGAGGACTTGTGTCGGAAGACAACTAGACAGTGGGTATCCTGAGAGGGAAAAGACTGGGTCGATTATTTTAATATGACCATTTTATACCTTTCAAACCCCTCCCATAGAGACCACAAAGATTAATTATTAAATGAATTGTTGTTTACTCTGTTGTGTGGATCTTTTTGTTCGATGATGGGACAACTGTTCTTATTCTCTGATTTGGATTTTTGTAGTAAAAAAAAAAAAATTATGTTGAAAATATCGGCTTATTATAAGAAATGACCAAGAAAACCAGCAAATATTTTCTGAATAAGTTCAGGCATTTAAAAAGAAAAAAGATAATTCAATTTTTACCATACTATCTGATACTCTACTTCACTGACACTTGAATATCCCAGCTTTTGTATTGTTAAAAAAAAAAAAAAAAAATCCAAATTGTCAAGGGGGATGTAGGCGCTAGCCAGTTTCAATAGGCTTCATCTGAAGTAAATCTTAAATATTACCACATACGTCAGGTCATTTCATCATAAATGTATTTACCCCCAAAATAGTGCATTTATTGGAATAGACCTAGGTAAAAAAAAAGCGTAATCTACTTCACTACATCTCGGAGAAATTGTTTTTTCAGCCTGTGCATATTTCTGTATACACATTTCCCTTTAAATTAATTAAATGTATAATTTTAATACATTAATACATAACAAAAATAATCGGTTATCCATCAATCGTTTCCCACTGTTAATATGTTCCGAGTGATGTGTATAATCTTAGGCTAAAGGTGGAAATAAACCGATTAAACTACCAATATGTAATCGAGCTCCCTTCTTAGACAACCAACAATTTCAAGTGGCGCGCTGGGCGACATCTCGCGAGACTTTGTGTGTTCTGTACTTTGTCAGCAGCAGCCGTCTCTCCACCATTTCGCTGCGTAAAGTCCCCTCCCCGCGACCGCTACATTCTGCGCCGAAACCCAGTCTCTCCCGGTCCGTATATTAACTTCTTCCCACCGACCTAGTGGTACCTCGTTGGGTACCGGGAGACAGTTTGGATTACTGGCATTACGGATTGAGTGCGATTTTGCGCGGATGACGACTCCTTCAACGAGAATTTAGTAAAAGAAAATCGGTCGGAAATTTCAGGTAGGTGGGAACTTAAGATGGCGGCATTGGAGAGGGAGGAGGGCAAGGAGGAAGTAACGGGGGAATCAAAGGGGGGTCTCGGACTAACGAAACGACACAATCAGACTTCATTTCACTTGCTTGTATTTTACAGTTTACTTCATCGAAGTGTGTAGACTCTACCTTCGAACCGAGACCGGAAACACAAATAAAACGCCTCGACACCGAACAAATTCTAATTTAAACGAAAAACGTTGTCATTCAACCAACTTTTCCTTTCTGTCGCTTTTAAGGAGCAAGCCGTTGGCCCGAGTAGGTCCCCCTAACCCCCCCGTGTAATCATTGCAAAATGTACATGGAAGTTTATAACAATGTTTTGTTTTCCCTGTTTCTTTACTTGTTCACAATGCGATATGTATTAGCGGCTAATACTGACTAATTTTAACGTATTTATTTTCGCGGAGACGAGATTTGACCCCACGCAATGACGTCACGAGTGATTGCCCCCTCCCCTCTCTGTACGGTAGTGCATGCAGAAGCGGGGTATTAATGCGACTTTTCAGATGTTTTCTGTGGTTCTCTTGGCAAAGTAACTTATTCAAATGTGTCCGCACAATCGGGCATCTTTGAGGGGCTAGAGCGTTACGTAAGCGCGGAGATGATGGGGCGCCTGCGCGTAAAACGAACGCACCCTGAGTAACTCCTCTACCCCGCTAGTTAGCAGCGGTCCTTTTCTCTTTATTTAGTGCCACCCCGAGCAGTATGTTGTTGTGTGGAAGCTAAGGCTAGCCAGCTATCCACGCTAGCCAGCTAACAACCACACTAGCCAAACTAGCGGGCGTTTCAATGGGAGGCTTTTTGAGACGATTCGCGGCTCCCAGCTGGTGGTAGTTATTGCTAACGTCAAGATAGATAAAATCGACTCCCCTCCTCCTCGTTTATTTGTCTGGGTCCAATGCACAATGTGTCCACTGAATAAAGATGCGGTTTATCAAAGGTAGATAAAACGCACCTGCGCGCCTGGTCGCACCGGCTTTAAGGCTGTGAGCGCGTGCTGCAGGGTTTCCCAAACCCACTTCCCGTGGGGGCGACCGCGGCAAAATGCAAACACCGAGGGGTATTACCACCTTTTTAATCATACGGATTATTAGTGTTGTTGCAAAGTGCACATAGATTCGATGCTAACACTTCGCTGCATTAGTTTTGAATCCTGGAGCGGAGAGACGTGCAGTTTGATTTCTAGATATTGAAGTTGTTTATTTTTGCCTCCACAGAATATGTGGAAGGGACCCTAATTTCAGCATCCTGGAAGTAGAAAGCACAGAAGATCTGTGTCTCACACCACAGACAGGTGAGAAGTTCCTACACACCGACACGTGCTGCTTTTCTTTTGTTTGCAATGTTTCCTCTTTAAGATCGTTGGAAATACAATTCCCTACACTTCACTAAAAGAAACACAGAACTGCCTACTTTATCACTGCAATATATATCGTTTTCTTAATATGACTGCCAAGTTGTGATCTCCTTATTTCCCGCGTCTCCATCAGGTGCAGTGTGTAGCCGGAGCAGCGCAGAGGAAGGACGCACTGGGGAGGAGGTGGTGCGGCAGCGTGCCCCTCCGGCTGTGGATGTGCTGGGTGGAAACCCCCAGGCTGCACAGAATGTGGCTGGGGAGTCGCCTAGGCGTGGCCCGCAGCCGGTCGCGGCTGCCCCCCGCCCCGTCCCTCCGCTTGCCCGTCTGTACGCTGTGCCGGCGCCGCAGGGCACCGACGACTCGGCGTTCGCCTGGACGGAGAGCGCCGCTCGGATTCTCCCAATCCGCAGCGATTCGGAAGAGGTCGGCCTCGTCGGAGTTTCGACGCCTTCGCCGACGCCCCTCCTCAGTTCCTCCGCTGGGATGCAAAGCCCCCCTGCTCCCCTTTGTCCCCCTCTCGCCGCAGATACCCAGATCACTGGCACCTTGCAAGAGTTGCAACACGGGTCACAAACTGATAAAGAGAGCAGCCCCTCAAATAGTCAGACAAACCAGGTTCAGACACCCAGAGAGATGGCCGGACTTTTCGTTACTTCAGGGACTACGGAGAAAGGGTCTGTCACGTTGGAATATAATCCAGAGACTGGAACAAACGTGGAACTTGGTGGAAAAGGACACGCGGGCGAAAATATTCTCCTCCCCAAATCTCAAATCCGTTTCACAGCATCATCTCCATCTCTCCCCCAACCAGATGTTGGCTTCAAAGTCAGAGACGCCGCGGAACTTCTGGAGCTGTCTGCCAGGGAGCCACTTTCATCTCCGCCCCCTTTACCCGCATCGGGCACCTGCGGGATTAAACAAACTGACCTGTCAAACACACAACCCAACCTCACCGGAGAGCTACAAAAGGCAAACTGTTTGGAACCCGGGGAAATGTGTGAGCGCGCCACGGAGCTCGTTGAAGCGTCTCACAAAGATGGGCAACCGTCATCTGCTGAGAGGCTTGAGACCGGAGATGCGAGGGAACAGCCTCCTAAAGACGGCGACATCCAGAGGACTTGCGATCAACTCAAAGGAGTGCAGTTGGAAAGTATTGTGATGGAAGAACAAGCCAACTCCTCCTCGCTCGACTTCACGGTGCCGCCAGAGTGCTCCTCCACGCAGGAGGGCTCCTCTAAACCTTCCTCCTCGGGTCCGGTCGTCGAGGTGGAAAAGTCTCTCCCTGCTGAAGGAGTCCCAGAAACGACAACGACCGCAGAGCTTGTGCATTCGGACGGCGCCCAAGAAATCGTGGTCGTCGGAGAGGACACGCACATCGCCGGGGATTGGACCAACATGCACCTGAACCAGAGCTACCTGCTGCAGCGGGAAGACGGCAGCGTCTGCGAAGCCGGCATCATCAACGAGCTCGGCGCCGGCCTTTTGGCCGGGGAGCAGGCGGCCATCGAGTTGGACTCTCAGCGCGTGGAGGTGTACGAGTTCTGCACCCTGGTGGAGGAGGTTGCCGAGGAGACGGTGTGCGCCAGCAGCAGCAGTGCGCTGGCGCCTCACTCTCCAGGTTACGAGGTAAACCTATTCAACGCATTGCTCGAACACTCCGAAGAGTACACCGTCAAAGATGAGCTAGAGCCTTCGGATGGCGCTGTCATTATTCCCCAGCAGCCCCTGACTGCGTCAAACAGTAATTCCACTAATTTGTTCGTACAAACCTCAAGAACAGCTGCTGTCGGGCAGCATTTGGTGTTGGAACCCGAGCGAGCCGCGGAGGCGGCAAACTCCGGGGAGGTTCGGTTAGTTGAAGTGACCGACGTTGCGGCCGACGCGTTCGCTGTAGAACAGGCAGATGCTGGACTACAAATGGTCATATCCCCGGTGGCGATCGCCGGTCAGACCGCCGCAGTGCGCGAGGCCACAGCAGCTTGCGCTTCGACAGAGACTCAATCACGGTGCATCAAGAGCGTTTCTGTGCCGGTGGAAATCAAATCAGAGGCCCTCGGCGCCACCCGCTCTTCTGGTTTTATAAATCCAAAGCTGCTCCTTCTCAAACCGGGAGATATTCCTGTTCTGAAACACCCTCCCTCCCTTTTTGCCGGACAGAATCCGGCCAGTAAACTGGCCAATGCCCACAGCTCTTGGTCTGGCACCCTGTCTGAGGACTGCCTTCCCCAAACGCTGTGCTCCGTTGATGAAACGTCTTTGCCCGCCACGAGTTGTGATGCGCTTCACCCGGGCCAGACTGCATCCGTCTCCCCCAAAACATCACCAAACAAATCTGACAACGAGGCCTTAACCGCTACGCAAAGTTCAAGCACAGCTGATGCCGTCACCCCCGGGTGTGCTCCGACACCCAACATCCTTCGCATGCACCCGGCATCAGAGGAGAGCGAGGTCGCGGCGGCCTCCGCCTACGAGGAGGAAGAGAGCGAGGACATGGAGCAGGAACCGGAGGCCCAGGAAACCGCTTCGGGACAGATCAGCAGTCCGGAAGAGGGCAGCGACGAAGAACCCGATGCTGACAGGACGGAGAGCGAGATGACCCCCAGCTCTCCTTCAAGGGTATTACCACGGCGTTTTATAAAACAGTGTTTGGTTAATATTCATGAAGTTCAGTTTCTGGGCATTTTATCACCTGTTGAGTTTTTCTTTTTAAGATTTAGTGAAAGGGGTTCTCTTTGCACTGCATTCAAAGATGCATAAACGCAAATGCACAAGGTTCATAATCCACCTTCTGATTCATCGACTTAAAGGCACAATGAGTTAATGAATGAGTAACCAGGGTTACGGTGCTCACCTGCGGGTGAAAGCAAACTCCAGATTCCCTCTGTGTAGAACGAGCTTTGTCCACTTTGGCCCCGCCAACTTTTTTGCGTCTTTGTCTCTGTCGATCATCTTCGCAGCTTCCTCTTAGAGTGCAGGTCGTCTTGTGTAACTTGGAAGTCAACCTTCAAAGAGATTAATCTGCTATTACACCATCATGTTGTGCACGTTAAGTAAGCCGGCATGTTTTCACTGACTTAAAAAAAAAAAAGTCCATCCTCCTGCTATTTGATTTTAGTTCTGCATGAGACGAACGCTGAAGGAAGAGTCACAGATGGCGGGTTTACAGTTTTGTGTCTGGATGTGTGCTTCTTCTAAGCCTCTGACCTTTCTCATGCATGCTGCTTTTATCGCAACAAATCTGGTTTCTGTCGCCTCACCATTTTTCTCGCCATGGCCCTCAGGTGAGCCAGTGGATCGCGGACAGGATCAACGAGAACGCGTCTCCCGTCTCGCCCGCCACTTTCCCTTCTTACCCCGGCCCCTCGCCCTCCAGCGACTGGTCCAGCCAGAGACGGGACAAGTCCTCGCCTCTCCGGGGGCCTCACGGGAAGTTTGTGTCTCCTATCTCCGTTGGCGGCTACAGTTCCTGCTCCTCCTCCCCGGATCAGGCCGCCACGCCTCAGCGACCCCGTGGAGAGCGCCACACAGGCATGGCAGAGCTGGCTAAACATGTAAGCGAGCCCTTAAGATACAGTAAATACATTGAAGATGGAAACTCCACACACAAGCGGGATTTCAAAAACTATTGTTATCCAGTTTTTGTTGTCCAAACGCCATAAAACCCCAAAATGGCCGACTTCCTGTTTGGTTTAGTGCAGACCTCCACGAGGAATTCTTGCTGCTTTTTGCGCCAAACTTCAAGAGCTGACCAGTCTCCCAAGCACCTGGTACGATAATAATAATACAACATTAGAAGAACAATAGGTCCTTCTGCGTTTTTGCTCAGGTCCTAACACGGTTTATTTTTAGAAGCAAGGCCGCTGTGTATAAGAATAATGCTTTTGATTCTCCACACATCACAAGTGATGGCTATGTGACGCGCGTTAATCTCACACTCGACTTTCAGCCTCTCGCTTCCTTTTTTACAGACGACTGAGAACAATTGTCTATTTCCAAAAAAAATGCTCCGGCTGCCTCAAATAAACTTAGTTAGTTTGTGTGTTGATGAGACGCATGGACTCCCACTCCAAACACTTTTCCTCAACTAAGCTCTTGATTTTTAAATGATTGGATGTATAACTAGCAAGTTGATCTAAATAGTCCTGATGGAGAAAAGTCTTGGAGAAGGTTTGCACCCATGTTAGCATGTTCCAATCGTCTGCCAGCATGAGAATATTGAAATGAAGTGTAATTTATTGACCATCATGGTTGGTTAAAGAAGAAAATCTTTTGAAATCAAACTATAAACCGCTCGAGTTCTGTAAAGGCTTGAATTGTGATCAGCTCACTTATTAGCGCCAGAGTTCAGATCCAAAGTATTCACTAAATACTATTATATTCTTATAAAAGCCAAAACGCCCCGAAGTGCTTTCCTTTTACCGATCACTAACAAAAGAGCTAACTGCTGTGTGCCGTTGTTCTTTTTATTTATTTTTACCTCTCACATTCTACAGGACATAGTTGTTGCTCATTAATGCGTTGGCAGGGTTCACTGAGTGGTTTTGGCCGCTGTGTGTCCGTAGGAAGCGGACATCGAGCATCGAACCCAGTCGCTGAAGCGAGAGGGCTTCTGGTCCACGAAGCGCCTCACCCGCCTAACGGAGCCGCCGCGGCCCAAGGTGCACTGGGACTACCTGTGCGAGGAGATGCAGTGGCTCTCCGCCGACTTTGCTCAAGAGAGGCGGTGGAAAAGGGGCGTGGCGAGAAAGGTGGGTGGAGGTTGTTTTTGTAACTGGAAATAAGCTGGTTTTCTTTTACAAGTTGTATGTGTCAGATTACGTGTTATTGATGTGTTCTGTTGTTTTTTAGGTTGTGCGAATGGTGATGAGACACCACGAGGACTTGAGGCAGAAAGAAGAAAAGGCCAAGAGAGATGAGCACTCCAAGATCAGAAGAGTGGCCTCATCTATCGCTAAGGAGGTCCGGGCCTTCTGGAGCAGCGTAGAGAAGGTGCGGATGATTCATCTAAAAAAAGAAAACAAGCAAACCAAACATTCTGGCTGTAGAAGATGAGATTTGAGAAGATCATAGCCTGTATTTTATTTTTCCCATGGAAAGTAAACGCACAGTGTAAAACACATGCATGAACACAGACTCATATCTATATACATATAAACCGTGTTGTCTTTTTCTCACTTAAGGTGGTGCAGTACAAGCAGCAGTCCCGATTGGAGGAAAAGAGGAAGAAGGCTTTGGACCTTCAACTGGACTTCATCGTCGGCCAGACTGAGAAATACTCGGACCTCCTCAGCCAGTCGCTGGCGCCAGCTGAAACCGAACCGGAGCACGTATCTCCGACTCCCCAAAAATCTGCGCCGTCTGCCGCCGACGAGGATGGTGAGGAGTGTTATTAAAATGTCTCGGGCGTGAGGAGATCATGTGCTCTGTCCCGTTTGTGTTAATAGGACATTTTAATAGTGGCTGTAAATCACCATCTTTTAGGGCGTAGGTTTAACAATATGACAAGGTTAACTGTGTCAAGTGAGATTCAACTGGTCTATGTTTGGAGGGAGGGAGGAGGAGGAGATCTACACTTCACTTTTGGACTAAACCCTGCAGCTCATAAATGGGGCCGACTGTCTCAATGTCGTAGTTCTCTCCCTTTCTTCACCACTGTGTCATTGGTCCGGACGGGGACATCTGTCATCTCGTCGTAGCTTCACTGACGAAATGTTTCAAGAAGATTAAAAAAAAAAAAAAAGCGCGCTGTTGTTCATTGTCAAGGTTATTGCGTTTGTATCTGAGAGAATCGACCCGTTTCCTCACGTGCCGCATGATTACCTGTTACTTAAAGCGTATTCCGGCACTGCGTTCCCACGGATACGTGCAGATGTTACTTGGCAGCTGCAGGCGCGTCGGACCTGTCAGACGAGTCATATTGTTGGCAGTTGATTCCCAAAGCGTGAAGGTGACTTTTGTTTTAGGGTTTTCTTGGACTTGGCGGGGGCTCGTGTGTCGGCCAAGGTTTTTTATGGTGTTAATCTGATCAGTCTGATTTACCATCAAGTATTGCAAGTTTCCACAAAAGATGTCTGTTTAAATTGCTTCCAATAACTGAAGCGTTTCTTGTCTTTGAGAGCTGCAGTTTAGCCTCCACGTGGTGTCTCATGAACCCAATCCATCTGTCGTACACCTGTTTCCTTGCTGCTGCGTTGAATATCCAGCAAGCACATGTCTTTTCTTCATTACAGAAAGAGTTGTTTGTTTTGTCTGTGCAGACAGAGACTTTGAGCCTCCCTGTGAGGAGGAGGACGACGAGGAGACCATCGAGGTGGAGGAGCAGCAGGAGGGCAACGACGCCGAGAGCCATCGGAGGGAGATCGAGCTGCTGAAGGAGGAGGGCTTGCTGCCCCTGGACCAGTTACTCAGCACCCTCAAGCTGCCACAGGTACCGACAGGATACAGTCTATATAGTCTGTCACCTAAATATTTCAACACAAATCCACTCACCACTTTATTAGGTACACCTGTTCAATTGCTTGTTAACACAAATTGCTAATCAGCCAATCACATGGCCGCAACTAAATGTATCTTAGTATCAGCCGTTCAGGCTGCTGATGTAACTGTGTGGGGGATATTTTCTCGGCACACTTTGGGCGCCTTCGTACCAATTGAGCATCGTTTAAATGCCGCAGCCTACCTGATTAATGTTGCTTTCCATGGCTGATCCTTTGTGAACAGAGTGTACCGTCTTCTGACGGCTACTTCCAGCAGGATAAAGCTTGTAAATAACGGTAACGTTTTGTTGGATTGAATAGGAGGCGGGCTCTGATGAGGAATGCTCTGATGTAACTTCTTCATCGGTGGAAGAGGACGGTGAATTCACTGCCAATGAAGAAGATGGTAAGACTGCCCATAACACAATAAACTGGAGCACTAAACTTTTGTTAATGTGTATTTTGTTGAGGTGCGGTTAGAGATGTTACATATCTTGTTGCTTCTTCCTCCAGCTCAGGATGAGGAGGACACCATCGCCGCCCAGGAGAAGGTCGAGGGTCAGGTGGATCATGCAGAGGAGCTGGACGACTTGGCTAGAGAAGGTATTGGTGAACAAAGAGCAAAGTGCTGAGGGGCCTGTTTGATTTGAAGAGTTCAAGTGCTGAATCTCTTGCATAAACCTCTGAATTAATACCAGTAGAAGAAATGTGTTTAAATGGAGGTTTCTTTTGCCTCTTTAAGGCCTGACCACCAAACATTTCAGCGTTTTATTTGTATAATTTCATAGATAGATATGAGTTCTTCTTTGCTAGTTTGGAATCAACTTACTTTGATGCTCAGAGGACAAGTACTAGTTCTCAAATGTACCAGAAGTATGCTTGACATGAATATAGCTTCTTCATGTTGACTGTCACAATATTTCATTTTTTTTATCCAAGAGAAACTTACTGTTAAAGTTAACATTTCAGGACAAATTATTTGGGTGTGATTTGCTTCACATAAACTTCTATTCCATCTTTGGGATTTTTAGTTCTACAGTTGGATCTTTTTTGCTGTATATAAAAAAAGTGCTACAGGAATCAGTTAAATAAGCCGATGACTCTGCTTTTGTTCTCCCGGTTCCTTTGTCCCCGAGTCAATGTTTTTGTTGATTTTGAAATATGGTCTGTTGTTCACACAAGTTTTAAACATTTAGTTCTGTGGTATAACAGACACTGGACAACTATACAGACAACTATTGTGTCTTTAAGTGTCTAAATGAGTTGTCAGGTCGTTTTCTTTTTAGACACAGAAACTCACTGGTTCTCTTTCAGACTTGTAGTCACTTCAGTCTCATTTTAACTCAAACATTTCAAATGGGAGTTACACACTAAAAGAAAAGGGCAAAATCCAAAGTGGAGGCATCTTTGTGGAGCAGTTTCCTTTTGCAGCCTTTTTTACCTCCTACGATTATATCCACTGTTCACAAACCAGAAGGCGTTGTTCATTAGGGAAGATCTTGCGTAGTGAGTATTGAAAGTTATTTACTTATTTCTAACTTCTCTGCTCTAATTCAACAGAAAGGGCTTTGTCAAGGGAACTAGTGTGATGCAAACTCAGGGTTTATGGGAGACATCTAAAAGCTAAAAACAGTGGTTGTTAAAATCTGAACCTAAAGCGCTTCCTGCAACGGTGCCCCGTTGTGTTTTTATTTGATTGCGGTTTTAATGTAGCCTCGTGATGTGTATCTGCCAGTTAGCTGCACGTCAACAAGCATTCCACTCGTATAAAGTAGCGCCATGCTTCTAAACATTTTTCCGTCCCCCTCGTAGGCGACATGAGCGTTGAGGAGTTGCTGGAGAAGTACAAAGGAGCGTACGCCTCCGACTTTGAGGCCCCGTCTGCATCTGGCTCCAAAGACAGCTCCGATTCGGAGGTGTCTGGGGACGAGGAGGAGGAGACCGATGAAGACGAGAGTGACGCGGAAACCAACAGCTCGTCCTCCGGTGTGAACCAGCTCATTCGTGCATGCTTCTTTAATCACAGGCTACTTATACTTATCATTAAACAACTTCACATATTTATCAGATTCACAAGGAGACAGCGGAGCGGAGGACGACAGTGAGGACGAGGCGGAGGACGAGGCGGAGGAAGAGGCGGAGGACGAGGCGGAGGAAGAGGAGAGTGAGGAGGAAGACTGCTGCGGCGATGAAGGGATGGAGGTGTTGCTGAAGGAGGGAGACAACAGCCCCCCCTCCTCCAGCTCGCGGCCCAAGAAGGAGATCAGCCACATCGCTGCGACTGCAGAGAGCTTGCAGCCTAAAGGCTACACGCTGGCTACTACAAAGGTCAGTCGAGATTATTTATGAGTATTCAAGGAGTATTTACTTCCCAAGTCAATCGGAAATGGAGGAACAAGCATTTCTGTGGGGACGTGACCGTCATGAACACAAACACGGCCACGATTGGCTTCCCAACATCACAACATGCTCAAAGCTGTTATGGTGGTTATTTCTGCCATCATTTATTGTGGAAAGAAACAGTCTGTTGGCATCTGCCTGAAAGTACCCCCTCCCCCCTCCCCTCCATAGCTCACTGGCTACATCTGCTTTCCCTTTTTTTACGTTATCGTAGTACGAGTATGTCAACACATGCTTTGTGTCTCCTAATCACTTCTGAATCCGTCATTTTCTCCTCTTTTCTGTTACCAGGTCAAGACCCCCATCCCGTTCCTGCTTCACGGCACGCTGCGAGAGTACCAGCACATCGGACTCGACTGGCTGGTCACCATGTACGAGAAAAAGCTCAACGGCATTCTGGCTGACGAGATGGGTTTGGGCAAGACCATCCAGACCATCGCTTTGCTGGCTCACCTCGCCTGTGAAAAAGGTTTAGTCCAAGTGCTTTTTAAAACCATTTATACAAGTGGGCAGTCCTTAAAACGCAAATGTTCCTTTTCTAGCTGCTTTTATCATTTGACATATTGTGTTCAGGTAACTGGGGTCCTCATCTCATCATCGTCCCCACCAGTGTGATGTTGAACTGGGAGATGGAGCTGAAACGCTGGTGTCCCGGCTTTAAAATCCTAACTTACTTTGGCAGTCAGAAGGAGCGAAAACTAAAGAGACAGGTAACGCCCTTTAATGCTAAACCCTTATGTTTGGCATCTGTCTTACTTCCTTTCATTCAGGGTTTTTCCTTTGACATATTTTTCTATTTTTCTGAACCTAATGCAAATGTTTCAGGTCACTTTTACGCACCCGAGACACATTTGAGTCGTACTTGACTGACCATGTTTAAACTTTATTTTCTTCAGGGCTGGACTAAGCCGAACGCCTTCCATGTGTGCATCACTTCCTACAAGCTGGTGCTGCAGGATCACCAGGCTTTCCGCCGAAAGTCCTGGCGGTACCTGATTCTAGACGAGGCCCAAAACATCAAGAACTTCAAGTCGCAGCGCTGGCAGAGCCTGCTGAACTTCAACAGGTCAGTGGAGACGGATCTCTACTAGCAAATCTGATGGAATCCAAAGTTTTGCCAAATTTAACAAAATCCTCCAGTGATCATGGTAAACCTTTATTACTGTTGTGAAGGGGAAATGTCTAAGACAATCATTTTATATATAAGCACCTTAAGCTGGACATTTTGCTGTAATTGAAGGACATTTAAGAAAACTGCTAAAAATGTTTATTTGTAAATTGTAATGTAATTTTGCTAATTTCTTTCCAAAGCAGACTACAGCTATTATGTAATAGTATTGCCAGTTGTATGATATAATAACCAAATGGACTGAGATAATCATGACTTCCTTCTTGAAAATCAGGCTTGTGGGCGGAAAATCTAAACTGGCGTGAAAATTGAGCTGCTGGTCACAAACAATCAGCCATCCCCAAAACACCGTAGCGCTTAAAAATGTTTACCCCTCGGTGGTGTGCGGGTGTGAATGTTAACTAGCCAGTCTCAAAAAAGGAAATCTTACTTCAATTCACCTTCATTTGATTGGTGAGCGTGATTCACAAACACAAAGATCCAATGTGTAGCTTCTGCACACAAGCTGCTGCTTCTGTGTGGGTCAACAAACCAGCTTAGAGGTCAATTGAGTTAACTGGAGGCCCCCAACTCTGATTCTGTCTCCATATGTTACACTTGGGAGCAGCAGCTTGTGGTAAAAAAAGAACCCAACGTGAACAAGCCTGCATGCAGACATAGTGAAAGACATGATTCTCCTGAGATCAAAACTAAAGGGAGAGTGATAAGAATAAAATCAATCCATGTGCATCCTTTCCGATCACGGCTGCATCGATCTCCCTGCATGTATTTGAAAGGTCTCCGTTGTTCCCTCCCTCTTCTCAGCCACCGGCGACTGCTGCTGACGGGAACTCCGCTCCAGAACAGCCTGATGGAGCTGTGGTCTCTGATGCACTTCCTCATGCCGCACGTCTTCCAGTCCCACCGCGAGTTCAAGGAGTGGTTCTCCAACCCGCTGACGGGGATGATCGAGGGAAGCCAGGAGTACAACGAGGGCCTGGTCAAGAGGCTCCACAAGGTGCTGAGGCCCTTCCTGCTCAGGAGGATCAAGATCGACGTGGAGAAGCAGATGCCTAAGAAATACGAGCACGTGGTGCGCTGCCGTCTCTCAAAGAGGCAGCGGTTCCTCTACGACGACTTCATGGCCCAGGCATCGTAAGTCAGGAAGGAGAATTCAAACATGCAAACTGAACTAAATGAAGGCAACCTGAAGTGTCCTCTTGGTGTTTGTCTCTCAGATTCTCTATTTATTGAAATACAGTACATCCGTACTGTACTGTAGTACAAGTGTTCACAGCGCTTTACTTTTTCCACATGTCATTATGTTAGACTTATTCCAAAATGGATTAAAGACATTTTTCTCAATTCTACACACAACACCCCATAATGACAAACTAAAAAGATTTTGTGGAAATTTGTGCAAATCTATTAAAAATAAAGGACGAAGATTTTACATACTCGTAAGTCTTCAGTCTCATCAATTAACGCGGTAACTTGACAGCCCTAGTTGTTGTTGTTGTTGTTGTTGTCATCATCATCATCATGTAGTGTTCTGAATAGTTTGAAGCTTCACAGCTACGGTTAAGACCTTGAAATCCAAAATCTGACAGCAATATTTTTATCTTTTATTAATTTGCACAAAGGATTCACATGACAAAGCTCTGTTCCACCCTTTCTCAACCTTATCTTCATCATTCCCAGAGGAGCACTTGTATTTCGCGCTGGTATCAATACTTTTCTCTCTCCGCTCTTGATGCAAAGGACCCGGGAGACGCTGGCCAGCGGCCACTTCATGTCTGTGATCAACATCCTGATGCAGCTCCGCAAAGTGTGCAACCACCCGAACCTGTTCGACCCCCGTCCCATCCAGTCCCCCTTCATCACCAAGCCCATCGTTTTCCACACGGCCTCTCTGGTGCAGGACGCCCTGGAGGTCTCTCCTCTGAAGGTCGGTGCTGCACCGAGAGAGCCATTTGCCTGATGACTCAATGCTGTGATGATGTGACACTTTTTTTATTCTTTTTTGCGTGCTCAGCGATGCGACCTTTCCATGTTTGACCTTGTGGGGTTGGAGAGCCGAGTGTCCCGGTACCAGGCAGACGTCTTCCTGCCGCGCCACAAGGTCCGCCGCCAACTCATCCAGGAGATCCTGGAGTCCCCCGACCCCCCTCCGAGGCCCAGACCGGTCCGCATGAAGGTCAACAGGTAAACGGGACATTTGCTTCTAAGTAGGGAGCTATAAAAAGCTGTATTAGCACTTTGGGAAAACAGCTGTAGTGTCTGTTAAATTAATACAAATCGTTGTGTGTGTGTGTGTGTGTGGCAGGATGTTCCAGCCTCCTCCTAAAAGTGAAAACCGACCAGTCCTTCTAATGAACAAACCAACCTGCTCCGTACCTCCAGCAGCACAGAACCCCAAACCTCCTCCAGTCCCGGAGGTCTCTGCTGCTCCTCAAACTGCTCCTCAAACTGCTCCTCAACCTGCTCCTCAAACTGCTCCCGTAGTTCAACAAGGCAAGTGAAGCCTGAATGCAATGTCCGAGTATTTAGACCATCGTAGTTCAAAAACCAAATGATTATTATGGTTCCAGGAAAAGAAAGGTAAACACAGGATAAACATATCTTTTAGTGATTGTAAAATCATGAAGGGAGGGGATGTTTTTTTTGTGTCAACAAATCAGGTGGCTTTGCTCATTAATTGAACAGGCACAACTGCGAACAGTGTGCGCATGTCAGAAGGGAGCCCGAGATTCAGTGAATTGCGAGCAGGTTGAGTGATTATTTTAATATTTTCTGGTACATCTAAGTTAAGTTACCCAGGAGCTTTGTTGACATAGACTTAGCTAACGTTAGCTACAGCTTGATGAATAGAGACGTTGGCCGGCTAGCTAAAGCTCCGGTGGGAAATGATTAGCTAACGCTACCGTTTTTGAGGAGGTCGAGTTTGAGGTGAGGGGACTGACGAGGCAGAAGGTAAAGTGGTCCACCGTTCTATCAATAAGCAGACCTGCCAACCTGATATGCATTTTGACTTCAAAGTACGCTGGTACGATTTGTCACTACGCAAAAATGTCAAAAATTAATTTTAGACTAGTTGACCGGCACACATTATATGCAGTGCAATATAATGCATGACGAGTATTTAATAACTTGTCCCCTATTAGTTGTTGTCTAATTTGTTGTCTGAGTCTCATGGCTAATTTCTTTTGCGCTTTTTTTAACTTTTAGCTCTGTTTTACGTCTGATTTATGGGCCTCTTATCTAAAACTATTCATCCGCTGGTCTTGGCCACGGCTCCCAAGACCAGCGAGAGTGAGTTTAACCTTAATGGAAATATATTGTTTCAGTTTAATCAAATATAAAGCAATGTGGTTCCATGAGGCAAAACATTCTTGGACATTTTCGGGGGGAAATGTCTCTTTTATAATATTTCCTCCTCCCCAAGGTCTGTAATAAATATCACTCATCACTACAATGACCGTAACACACCATTGTACATTAAGAATGGATACTTACCTAAAAATACTTTTATTCCCCCGTATCCTTTTTAGTGGTGTGTACAGTGACAACCGCTGCCGCCCCCCGCCCCTCCATGCACCCCACCGCTCAGATCGCAGTGCGATCCGGCGCTCCAAGGCCGGTGCTGACCGTACGCCCCCCCGCTGCTTCCTGCGCAGCCGGGATCCCGGTCCATCCCGGCCCCAACCCTGGCAGCGTCCTGCCCCAGAGGGTTCTGCTCAGTCCGGATATGCAAGCCAGGCTGCCTTGTGAGTGCACACCGAGCAACTTCAGGGTCTCAAGCTTGACTTTAAAGACTTTCACTATTCTGAATGTTACTGATCCACATCTTCTTTTGTGTTTTTTTTTTTTTTGCTACCTCAGCCGGGGAGGTGGTGAGCATCGCCCAGCTGGCCTCTCTGGCGGGTCGGCCCGTGTCGTCGTGTCAGGGCAGTAAACCCGTCACCTTCCAGCTTCAGGGCAACAAGCTGACTCTGTCTGGAGCCCAGATCCACCAGGTCCCTGGAGCTTCTCCGCGCCCAGTTCAGGGTTAGTGTCGGAAGGCCTTGTGTATTCTACGGGTGTGTGAATAATCTACGGTGGAGGGCCGTTTGTGCGAGCCATGTTAACTGACCAATCATTGTGAATTTTGATCAGAAATGATCCGGAATCCGTTAAAATAGATCCCGATTTTTGATGTGTTTTTATGATTTAAATAAAAATGCCCTTTATCTCTCCAGGTAATGTGATGCACCTGGTGTCTAGTGGAGTGCAGCACCACCTCATCAGCCAGCCAGCGCAAGTGGCTGTCCAGGGCAACACCCCCTCCACTGTGCCACCCACCAATCGACTGGCTCTAAATGCCTCAGCGCAAGGTTTTTAACCCGCCTTTATCTTACTGTTCTTCAGGTTCCGCCTCTAAATTAAATTTATTTCCATATCCTCAGTTACTGCAAAGGAACATCTCAAACTCGTTGGGATTTAGTCCCAGTTTAGTCTTGATCCTCTGAATGCAGAGTAACTTTAATCCAACTTCAAACCAAAATGTATTAAAATCCGGTCTGTAGCAGCTTAATCTACCCTTTGCGAAGCCTCGTTTCTCAATTGTGTTTCCATGTGTCCTCAGTGCCCCCCTCCATTATGAGCAGCCCCGGTGTGGTGAAGATCGTTGTGCGTCAGGCAGCAGGCAAGGACGGCGGGCCTGTGCCCACGCTGGCTGTGGCTCCTTCCCCCCGCGTTGCTTCTCTGACCTCCCTGCACCCGCACACCAACACGACCCCTGTCAGAACTGCCGCTCCACTGCAGATCGCCCAGCGCACCCCTGGCCCCGCCACCGCCACCGCCCACTACACCATAGCTCCTCCGGGGAACCCCGGCCCGACCCCCAGCCAGCCACACCCCCCTCGGCCCGTCCTCAAAGTAGTGCAGCCTCCTCCATCGAGCGCAGAGCGGCCAGGTGAGAGAGAGCGAGGGCGCTTTGCATGCGTGACGAGAAGAACCGTGTCACAACAATGTAGCCGCTGATCTTTTGATGCTCCGGTTTAATCTGTTTAGAGGGCCCCATGTGTTACGAAGGACAGGATCCCTTCTAGTCAGTCAGGAAAGCCAGTTTAGTTTTTAAATGTATGTTTTAAGATCTGTAAATATTTAATTTTCCACATATAAGCAAGGTTACTTAGCAGGCGCCTCTTTCATCGGTTGACTGGCTTTAACTGAAAGGAACTATTTTACTCCTCCACAGAGCTCCTTAAGCCAAAGTAGAATCCAGTTATTCTAAAACGGTCTTTCTTGTCCCCCGCTCAGCTCTGGTCCAGGTGGCCTGCTCGTCTTCTACATCCAAGTCCTCAGCGGCTCTGCGGGAAGGCGGCGGTCAAACGGCGCTCACCCCAAAGTCGAGGCCGGGTGCCGGCGTTAAGACCGTCCCTCCCCCCAGGAGAGTGCCCAGGCTCCCTCCCCGCTCTCCGTTCCACACGGTAAGAAAGTTGTGAGGCCAAACGGCACAAAAGCAAAAAGCTTTTGCATTTCAGCGGCTTGTGTTCCTGCTCTTTACCTCGCTTGCTCACATCCCGTCCCCCCCCCTTCCTTTTCTCAACAGAAGTGGCTCGAGGACGTACACAAGCAGCAGCGCGACAGCCGCCTGGACTTCATCATTCGAGTCAACGAGAACCGCTGCGCGGCCAAACCCGCATACGGCCGGGAGGTTTTAGACTTCCTGACATTCCTCCCCGGGCCACGACCTGCGCCGGCCCCCCCGCGCCCTCAGAGGGAGTGGGGTCGCTCGGGCCACAGCAGCGCTCTGCACTCGCAGTGGGAGAACAAATTCAACTTCATGTGCCAGAGTCGTGCTGTGAGAGAGGCCATCCACAGCGTGGAGGACCGGCTGGAGCTGCTCAACGACGTCGTGGACAGGTGGATATTTTAGAGCTGCTTTTTTTTTTTTTTTTTTTTAGCTTTTCTTTTTCGTTCCTATCTGGATGGGTCCTGCTCCTCGATGAAAACAGCACAGTCACGGTTGTGAGCGGAGAGTAATGTCTTTTGCAACAGCTACGTGGCCATAAATCCTTAAAAGAAATGTTGTTGTATTTCTTTGATAATCTTGCTGTGTATATTTGTGTTTTACAGGTAAAAATGTATTTTTAAAAAACTAGCTTTTTTTTCACATGACTGCTATGGTCTCAGGTGATTTGATTTAAATGAGCCATCTTTTGAATGAAAAATCACATTACCATTAACATTTGTTTGGTTGTTTGTTTTTCTGAAGGAAGGGTTGGTCACACGTGATGTGTTCATGAGCCGAAAGAATAACTTGATGTTCCTGTTCTCAACAGCTTCTGGCTGGTATAAACCGTCTAGTTTTTGGGATTTGAACTGAGAGAGCTGTGTTTTATTTATCTTTAACTATTGTGTCTTTTAGGTTTACATTTGCGATTCCCCCCGTGGAGGCTCCACAGATCTCAATACACTGCTGCCATCCTCCTCCTTCTCTGAGCCACAAGCAGGCGGTCTTCTCCTCCCAGCTGTCCACTCAAGTCACTCCGCTTACTCGCAGTCTCCATCGAATCCAGTGTTACATGCGGACCCAGTTCCCGGATCTGAGGCTCATCCAGTACGATTGTGGTAAGCACTTTGAATACGAGCGCAGAAAAACGCCAAACACAAAGAATTAAATGAAGAGCTGGTTCGGACTTGAAATGACAGTTGGGAATAAATAATTGATCAATTAAACAGTTAAAAGAAATTCTCAAAATGAAAAACTGAGCAAGACTCAGAGGAGCCACTTATTGCTAAAGGAGAGGGGTTGTAATAGCAATTTAGGCCACAACAGGATGAAGTCCCCATGCTATAAAAGAGTTGAAAAAGCCAGTGTACCCATACTTCTCTGAAGAGGAAAACAATAATTTCGGTGAGTCAGGAACATGATAAACGCCTGTAGCCCCCTGTTGTGAAGGGTTAAACACTCAGTTATGTGGGGAAGGATTTCACATTTTTCGTTCTATGCAATCACCTGCTAAATTATGTACCCCCCCCCATGTGCAGGAAAGCTGCAGACTCTTCACACCCTGCTGAGGAAGCTGAAGACCGGAGGCCACCGGGTGCTGATCTTCACTCAGATGACGCGCATGCTGGACGTGCTGGAGCAGTTCCTCAACTACCACGGACACATCTACCTCCGCCTGGATGGAAGCACGCGCGTGGAGATGAGACAGGTTAGTGCAAAAATATAAAGACTGTTTGGGGGGGATGAAATTAGAGTCCGACAATGCTTATATTCTCTGCCTCCTCTTTCAGTCCCTCATGGAGCGCTTCAACGCAGACCGCCGGATTTTCTGCTTCATCCTGTCGACGCGCAGCGGAGGCGTAGGCGTGAACCTGACGGGGGCCGATACGGTGGTGTTCTACGACAGCGACTGGAACCCCACCATGGACGCCCAGGCACAGGACCGCTGCCACCGGATCGGCCAGACCAGAGACGTACACATCTACAGGTGACGACTGGTCACAAAGGGGGCGGAGTTTAACGCTTTGACACCATACGCGTTGAGCCTTCGGGAGGATGTTATTAATGTCTGATGTTTATGAAAAATGTTCTCCGTGTCCTCACAGATGTTTAAGGTTGAGGACACAATAAGACTGTAGATTGGAGGAAAAACAAGTTTGATCAATTCTTATTTTAAGGCTTTACTTTTGAAAAAATGTGATGCTAATGTTTTTCCTTCATGAACGTTCCTCTTCAGGCTGATCAGTGAGCGAACTGTGGAGGAGAACATCTTGAAGAAAGCCAATCAGAAGAGGATGCTGGGAGATATGGCTATTGAAGGAGGAAACTTCACCACAGCCTTCTTCAAGCAGGTATTTAATATTTTAACAAGCCTTTTTTTTAACATAGTAGCCCACTTTTAATTTTAGGATTTATTCACATTATATAATTTGATCAACTCCATTGTTTCTACTAACTGCTTCACCTGGTATAAAAGTGCAGCTTAAAGTGAAAACACCTGTGCCGTTTCAAGCATTTTCTAATTAACCCATTGAATGAATAACAGAATAACTGCTGTTGAGTATTGTAACGTCAGAGAATCAAGCAGTTTAAGTACCAACTTGTTCATCTTTGTGTACGAAGGACCATTTTCCTGAGTTTTTTTCTGTTCCTCAGCAAACCCATCCGAGAGCTGTTTGATATGAGCGAAGGGGAGAAGAGGGAGGCGGCGGTGGAGCTATCGGTGACCCCAGCCGAGGAGGAGGAGACTGTCAACAAGCAGAGCACCACCATTCTGGAGCAGGTGAGGGGCATCATGAGGTGTCGTAGGGCTGTATTCTATCTTCTGGCCGACTGGGGCAACTCCTGTGGTCTTATAGAAGTCGATGAGAGAAGGACTACTTCTCTCTTGATTTATTCCCTCAATATACATTATAACAGCTTATGGTCTCAATCTCTACTTTCAAGTCTTCTTCAATACAGCATGATGTTCCTTTAGTAAATAATGGTCCATTTAGAGTCAAACAAAACATAAAGCAGGATGATTGACAGGCTGTATACTGTCTCTACGTCACTCCTCCTCGCTCACTTCCTGTTCACTGGTTGCTAAAATTTTAAGAGGCGGCCGAACTCGAGGCTCCCAAACGTCTACAAACCAACGAGTGTCGTTGCCTTGACTACGTCCCTTTTTTAATACACCGCACAAAGTTCTGCAATCTTTGTTCTTACTTTCTGTTCCTTTCTTATTCCCACAATACCAAATACAAACACAATGCCAACAAATGACTTCTGTATTTTGTTTGTAAATCAGACAAGAGGAGTAAGACAGAATGGTGCAAGTTCAACTTGCAGCTGGGAAAATGTTGCACAATCATGTTGATTTTTTTTTTTTTCCAAAACTAACAAACCTTAAAAAAATAAATAAAGCCATTTATTATTTCTTAAATACTTTAATGCTGGGGGGCCATCTTTAAAAAAATCTGAATTAGACTTGTGTTGCAAATCTTCATTTAGCTTGTAGTCACATATTTATTTTTTCAACAGTAAGGGCACTCAATTTCTTTTTTGTATCTTTATTATGTAATGTTTCATTTATTACATTATTGATACTGGCCTTTGTGTGCATATTTGAAAAAGTAGTGTGATTGCTGTATTTTTGGGACATGCTGATTCCTCATTTAATACTCGATACAAAAAAAACAAAACCGAGGTTTATTTAATGGTCTAATTACCCTATAATAACCGGACGTGTTGAACTTTTGCAGGCCTTGTGTCGAGCCGAGGACGAGGAGGACATCGTCGCCGCCTCACAGGCCAAAGCAGAGCAGGTGGCAGAACTGGCGGAGTTTAATGAAAATATCCCACTGGATGATGGAGGGGAGCAAGAGGAGGTGGAGGAGCTCTCGAAGGCGGAGCAGGAAATTGCGGCTCTGGTGGAGCAGGTGAATGTTCTTTTTTTTATGTTTTTAAATCAAGGACATTGATTACATTTTTGTAGCAGTTTCTGCTGCATATCTGCATTGTATGTCTTGCTTTGAGTTCCGCTATCTCACCACTTGCTCAACCCGTCTCCAGCTCACTCCGATCGAACGCTACGCCATGAACTTTCTGGAGACCTCCCTAGAAGACGTGTGCAAAGAGGAACTGAAGCAAGCCGAGGTAACGACGCGTCTTCTCCTTTGGCTTTAAAGCTTTACCATCTCAACATGTCTGCTTTGATACATTGGATTAAAGGTATTAATATTTATTTAAGATAAAAATAAATCCTAGTCCTCACAACTGAAGCGCTGTACTTTTTACTGTGGTATTCTTTTCTTCAAAACTTAACACCATTGTGGTGAAATTCAGCATTTTGGATTTGACTGAGGTGTCAATTCAATCTGATTGATGAGAGATCTGCGTAATGACCACAAATACTCAACAATGATTTTGTTTATACTATGTAATTTGTCAAACCCTGTATTCCTACAGAAAAAACCCCAACACAAAGTCAATTGAATGTCTATAATTCTGTTCTGCTGCTGTGTGTTTAGGAGCAAGTGGAGGCTGCCAGGAAGGGCCTGGACCAGGCCAAGGAGGAGGGCCTGAAGCTCCACGCCTCATCCGATGAGGACAACGATGACTTTTTGTCACCGCCGGCTTCTGTGGAGCCTTCTCAGCCGGCCCGCCGGGGCCGGAAACCCAAGGACAAGGCCGTCAGCTCTACGAGAACCAGTGGTCGTCTGCGCGGGGCCTCGCCCGAAGCGGAGCCGGAGCCCACTCGGGAAGTGCCTGAAAGACTCCGCTGTGGGTTGAGAGGACGAGGGGCTGCCAAAGACCCGAGTGCTGCGTCCGCCACCCCGCCCCAAACAGACCTGCACAAAACCCCAACAACCAAGCTTCACGATGTCTCCAAATCCCCTCCTGCCAGAGACCCACAGACCCTCAAAACCAAGACTCTGCCAAACCGCTCCCATCCCAGTCCAGTGCCTTCCCCTCCCACAGCCTCCCCCCACGTGGGGAAACTACAGTGTGTCGGGGAGACTGACGGCAAGACCCCCGCAGCCTGTAGTCAGGACAAAGAGGGGGAGAACGACAGGAAGGCGTCCGACGCGCCGCTGGAGACCAGCTCCCCGGTGGACCATCAGGCAAAAGACGACGACTGCGGCAAAGACCACGGCGCCGTGTCTCCGCCTTCTACCAGCTCCCGGTCGCCTCGCAAGCGGCAGTCAGCGGACGGGGAAGTCCTGCGGGGCCTGGTCGAAGACTCCCCTTCGGCCAAGGTCCTGCGGAAGCTCCCGGGGAGGTTGGTCACGGTGGTGGAGGAGAAGGAGCCGAGACGGAGGCGGCGGCGGGGAAGCGGCACCGGAGGCGGAGCTTCTTCGGAGGAGGCGATCACGGAGGAAAGCGTCGACGAGGCGAGCAAAGACAACGCGTCGCCGAGCCCCGACGGCAAAAGCAAAGCGTCTGTTACCAGATCTCCCCCGGATCAGCACTCGGCTCCTAGTCCGGCCGTCCACCCGCCGCCCGTCAGGAGCTACCCTCCGTATTCTCCACCACATCTGTTTCCGGACATGCCCGTGCTGAGGAATCTCCCCGTGCGGCGGCGTTTGGAAACAGAATCTCGCATGGCCGCTCAGCTGGGGGAGCAACAGCAGCACCTGGGTCGAGGAAGGGGATGGAACCAGTCCAGGAAAACGGACCCGTCGCCGGGCAAAGACGGCGCTTCAGCTTCCACAGAGTCCGATTCTCTCGTGGCGCCTTTGAAAAGAAAGCGGGGGCGCCCCCCTAAGACTCCCCCAAGGTTACCGGAGCACGGCCGCACGGTGACACCCTCCCTGCAAAGGGAGGAGGGGAACCCCACTCTGTCCCCAAAACGTAAGCGGGGCCGTCCTCGCAAAGACGCCACAACAGAAACTGTCCCCACTGCCGGTGTGTGTGATGGATCAAAGACTGGCGCTTGTTCCGGGCCTCCGCCTGCCAGCAGGCCTGAGATCCCCGTCGCTGCTCTTCTCACTACACGTCAGGGCCCCGAGGACGACGAGACCCCGAACCCCCCTCAATGCCCCACAACAGATCCCCCTGCCACACCAGCCGCAGTGCAAGCAGCCACACCTGCTAAACCTACACCTGCTACACCCACACCACCTACGACAGCTACACCCACGGCATCCACACCACCTACGACTGCTACACCCACGGCATCCACACCACCTACACCCGCTAAACCCACTGCACCCACTACACCCACAGCACCTACACCCACCGCACCCAAACCACCTACAACCGCTACACTCACAGCACCTACACCAGCTAAACCCACGGCACCCACACCACCTACGACGGCTACACCCACTGCACCCAAACCACCTACAACTGCTACACCCGCTGCACCCAAACCACCTACAACTGCTACACCCGCTGCACCCAAACCACCTACAACTGCTACACCCGCTGCACCTACACCTGCTACACCCATACCACCTACACCCGCTGCACCTGCACCCCTTTCTGTTGTTCCCTCCACATCAGCTCGATGTGCAAGTTGTGCTCCAGCTAGCCCACCCACAGCATTAACCCAGGTGTCCAGTGTTTCTATGTCCAGTATCCCAGCCACTTCTACCCCAAATACCACCGCTCCATTGCCCCTTGCCAGCACTGTCACATCGACTCCAGCCGGTGTACAAACAACACTTTCCGGTGCTTCTAAAGCTCCAGCAGAACCAAAACCTTCAGTTCCTACAACTGCCGAAGCAACAGCGCCGCTCAATACAACGTCAGTCCCACCACCAGCTGCCACCTCTCCATCGACTGACTCGTCTTCTGCCGTGGTCGTCGACGCAGTGCCAGCGTCGGTCCCCGCCACAACCAGTACTGCTAGCGTGGCATCAAAGCCAGGCAGCGCAGCACCAACAGTCACCACTACAGCAAAGTCAGTCACGACTAAAACTGCTCCTGTGACGGATTTGTCATCCACAACGTCTACTCCAACTTTTGTTCCCTCCACTGCTGCCGCCCCCCAGAAGGTTTCAGCCTCGACCTCAGCGACCTCAACATCTTCCCCCACTACAGCGACCGTGAGAACGGTCCAAGCTAGTCCAACGGCTCCCATCGCAGGTCCAACAGCGTCTGCGTCTTCTAGAACGGTCACATGTTCTCCAAACGAGCCAAGGAGCAACGTGGCCGCTACCAAACCACCACCAACAGTGCAAGTGGCCACACACGGACCGGTGTGCTCGGATAAGCCTTGTGCTGTGCCGCCCCTGACTACAGCCCCCGCCGGTGTGACTACACCCAAGGCCAAGACGTTTTCAGTAACTACACCCCCGCCAGCAGAGAAAGTCCAAGGGAAGACCGCCACAGCAGAAACCCCTTCCAGAGGGGACACAACTTCAACTGCCCCTCCCACAGAAAAGGCTGTCAACATCCCCCCACCCCTAACAAGTACTACGCCATCTCCATTACCAACAGTCACCACAACTACATCCTCACCAGAAAAGTCTGCTGCCACCTCGACCCCAACTACCCAGGCGTCCACCATCCCCGCCCCCCCGGCGTCGGTAGCAACAGTCGCAGCCGCTCCTCCGTTTACTGCCACACAAATAAGTCCAGTAACTCCAGTGCAAAGCTCCGCCTCCAGTGATGTGACCCCACCAGTCCGGACGGAGGACCCGCCCCACATACCCACACCTGTGTCCTTTAGTGTTTCATCCGAGAAACCGTCCTTAGGACCAACACGCATGTCTCCGGCTAAAGGGGACCCCGACACAGGGACAGAAATGGAGGTGGACGATGGAAGGACGAGCAAGGAGGGGGAGGAGGAAGAACAGGGGGACACTTGTAAGTCCCAGCCTAAAAGAAGAAGGGTGGATAGTCCCTCAGAGACCAAAGACTTTGAGTCGGGAAAGGAAGGAGATGCGGCGTCTGCAGCTTCCCCTCAGAAAGAAGAACCCAAACAGGTGGAGAAGACTACAGAAAACAAAGAGACCCCAATCCAGAAAAGGCCTCAGAGTCGCCAAAGTAGCCGAGAGTCAGCCCGCTCCTCCTCTTCCTCCTCCTCGTCTTCGGGGTGCTCCACGTCAACCCTCACTCGTCACGCCCACCACAAGAGGACTTATGAGAATCGACACCCTGCCAAGAAGAGGCGGATGGACGTCACCTCGGACACAGGAAAGGAGGAGAAGAGCCAACGGGGCGGGGAGAAGGGACAGGAAGGCTGTGACGAGGAGCTCGGGAGGCGGCGGCGGCGGCGCTCCAGGTCTTCCTCCTTCACCTCCTCTGACTCTGACAACAGTGGAAGCCGTAAGGAGCATCGGCTGACTCGCTCGTCGAAGCGTGGGCTGCAAGACCAGGAGAGGAAGAAGGGCAACGGCCGGCAGGCAAAGAAGTCTGACAGAAACGCGCTGAACAACGCCAACGCGTCCACGGGCGGAGAGTCGGGCAGCGACACGTCTTCCGTCAGGAAGTCTGCGCTAGCTCCGCCTTCTCGGGCCGGTAAAGCTCAGGCCAACAGCGCGCCCCCCGAGCCTGAGGTTCTAGGGAAGAGGTGCTCTGCGCTCAACGCGGCGGCCAAGCTCCTGGCGATGAAAGGCAGGGTGGATACGCCCGGCCACACCCCTCGGAGAGACGCCGCCGCCAAGGGCTCCTCTACTGACAAGAACCAAAAGCCTAAAAGCAAAAGTGTACCGACCCCATCACAGAGTAACTCTGTAAATCTCAACCTCGCCAATAACAAGAGCTGTGGCAGCAAGCCCGCCGTGGCCAATCAGGTGCGCCGCTCCGCCTCCCGCTCCACCAGACAGTGCCCCGGCTCTCTGGTCCCGCCCCTCGACTTGTGCAAGAGGTCGAGAGCAGAAGAAAAGGAGGACGGGAGCAGGAAGTCGTCGGGGGGGAAGGAGGGCGAGCCGCCGTCCTCGTCCCGGGGCCACAGCGCCTGCAGCAGCATGAGCAGCGACGGCGAGGCCGGAGGCGGCGAGGGCGGAGGTTGCGGACGCAGCAGCAGAAGCCGGAGCAGCAGCAGCAGCAACAGCAGTCAGCGCACACGCAGCCTCAGCTCCCAGAACACGGAGCACCGGGAGTCCCGCGCCGCCTCCTCCGGCAGCGAGCGGGGCCGCGGCCGGTCGGAGAGCCGGAGGGACCGCCGGTCCCACAAGCTCTGCGGGGAGGCCGCCAGCGGCTCGGGGGCCGAGGGCACGCCGGACCGGGTGCTGCGCAGCGTCGCCGCGCTGGCGGCGGTGCAGGCCCGGTCGCCGGCCGCCAGCACCCGGTCCTCCTCGGGTCACCACCGACGCAACAAGACATGAGCGGAGCGCCAAAAGGAGTTAAAAGGAGAAGAAAAAAACGCAGCGAGACGGACGAAGCGGGAGTTCCCGTCGCGGGGGCCACGTTTACGGGAGCATGTCGCGACCTCGGCGGGTTCTGCACAAGCTGGGGGCCTCCCTGCCTCTTGGGGCCTCTCCAATCGGAGCTGGTCCTCTCACCAGCTCGGCCAACGTCACGCTGGGGGGAAGACTCAGTGGGGATGTCGGGCAACAAAAAAAATAATAATAAAAAGAAATAAAAAGGGTGGCGCCAGCGGGTCGGTGCGCAGACGGAGGGACGGCACAGCGATTTCAGCGCTGGGACTTTAGGGGGAGGCGGGGGGGACAAAGATGCAAAGGCAAAGTTGTTAGTTCACATTATGTACTGTAATCTCTAAAGACTGGAACACTCGGATCTTCTGTGAGGCGGATTATACAGCGGCCTCCGTTAGGGTCGTAAACGAAGGCGTCATTTGTGTGACATTAAAAACCTTTGAGTGACCAGTTGTATTGTAAGTTGGAGGTTTTTAGAGTTTGGTTTTGAACATTTTCATCGGCTGTCCTGACTATTGGTTCTCTGTAGTCAGTTGATAAGTTATGCATATTTTATTATTTCTTCCAGGGTGTTTAGGAGGAGACCAGGTCTGTCGTTGTGATCAATGCTGGAGCTTCTTTGCTTCTCCCCTCCTCTTTTCGTCTTGTCAGTCTTCTGTTCATTGGATTCATTTTTAAATCCAGCCTTGTTTTTTCATTTGCACATGTGATACAGTGGCCCTGGGCTCTGAGTACATTGTGGTGTAGTGATGGGGTTCAGTCAATGAATTGGTTCCTCGCCATGTTTCTCCAACCAATTTGAAAACGTATCAATTGAAGCTAAAGGTCTTAAATATTTGTTTTGCTTCAGTTCAGACACGGAGCAGTTTTCTTTCTCACCCTCTCAAAGGCAGTCGTAGTTACGGTTCACTTTGTATTTATATCAGAAGAGCAAGAAAATGTTAAAATGAAAGAGTGCCTATTTGGCCAAATGGATTTGAACCTCAGATTGCCTTGTGAAGCAGCTGAAGCATGGGTGTTGCTTCTCATTTAAAAAAAAAAAAAAAAGTCCAACCTGCGAGCGTAGAGAAAAGCACCCGGTGCATCAGTGCAACCAAATTATTGATTTCACTTTTTTTTTTTCTTGTCACCACCTCCATGTAAAAAAGTGAATAAAATGACTGGTACAGTTCCAGATGACTGTAATTTGTTTTTATTTTTGGACTTGTGAAAGCTATTTTGCGCAGAGGTGATATTTTGGGGGGGAGGGGTTAGTTTATGGTGATGGTCTTGTTTTTTTATTTGTCTCTTCATTTGTTGCATTCCTTGTTCCCTTGTAATTCCACATTGTTTTACTTGAAGAAAATTAAGACAATTACAGTTGAATAAAAGACCAAAAATTAGTGTGCCATTTTTCATTGTGATGCAGCTTGTTTATTAGTGGTGCAAAATACTGTAAAAGATGGGACACATTTGTATTAACTAATCATACAAGTCACTGATAAAATGGGTGATGCAAAATTCAACAAGTGTAATATTACAGATAAGTCAACTTTTTACTTCCAAAGGACAGAATCTAATGACAAGTTTTGGTTTTCTTTACACGACAATACATCACTTGCTCCGGGGTTCCAACCCCACATAATCAAACGTAACAAGCAGTGTGAAGAAAGATCGTCTTTAGCGTAACCGAGGCAGAAACGCACTCCTTCCCTTGTTCAGAACGTCATGGTATAAGGCGTGTGAGGTTGCAGCAGCTCACAAATGGTTTAAATCATAAATATGAATACAAGAGAGCCTTTTATTCATCCAGTGCTGAGCCACTTGTGTAAAATAAGAGTGTGGCTAAACATAACTTATTTACATTTGTTCCATGTAGGAAGTTTAAAATATCTTTCACGTTTTAGAAAAATGCATGACTAATTTCTTAATCAGCAATGCGAGGTTATGTACAATTTATATTAGTATGCTTGGCTATAAAAGAAATTGCTATTGGCGCCTCTAATCCGGAAATGACGTAACGAGACACTGCTTCCTGAGTACAATACGATCAGGCCATACTGCATTGTGCTTATATCAAGGGCACTTCGTTCCTCATTTTATTTTGTATGTCGGAGGCGAAGCTACCTGATGTCACGGCACATTTGTTCTTTTAAAAAGAAAAAAGGCCCGTTAGAGGACGACGAATATGGAACAGCGGAAGGATGATGTCCGATCATCCCGTGGGATGACGTTATTTACATAAAATGGATTTTCTTCCCCACACGTCTACAGCCATCTGCTCAGGAGGCCTGGTGTTAGACGCCGAAGACTGAGAGCAATGAGATGACTAGGATGAGGATGAGGATGCCCAAGCAGATCGCTATCCAGAGCTTCTTCTGCGATGGGAGAAAGAAGAAAGATTCAACACACAAGGATCAATAAGTAGTTGATGTAGCAAGCTGAGAGCCTCAACAGATATCTAAAATCATACCACGATTGTTTGTCATATATATTACACTTCAAACACTAAAAGAGAAAGTTGCCTCGCGGCTTAATAGAGAATCAAACTGAGAAAGTTTTTGACGATTGATGATTTAAAAACTGCAAAACTACAAAAAAACACAAGTAAGATCCAAGGCTGCATTTGTCAAAAGAAATGGCTTCCTAACCACTACTCCTTGACCTCTGTGGAAAACGTCATAGGGTCATGGAAGGATGGTTAGGAGAAGTCATGAGGAGTTAGGAAAAGACAACAGCGGTGTTTAGGGAATCGGAGGACTTTCACTAAGCTACGTAGTTCTGATGCGACAGGAGACGCATGTCAGTGACGTTGGGCGGCAGCGGCTAAGTTTAAATATTGCAGCCACAAGGAATTATCTACTTTCCTTTGGTAAAGAATGGGCCAGTGGTTCCTATGCTAAAGAAGCTAGGCAGGGAAGCATTGAAGCTCCTTTCCTTAGAGAGCCACTACTAAGTCAAAAGGACTGTTTAAATCCAGCCCGAGTCGATTTTATCCAGCTCACATTCATATTTAAGACCCCTCGTCCATCACGGCCTTTTGGTTAGTCATTTCTACACAAAAGGTATTTTAGTGAGTGAAGTGCTGCTTTACGGCAGCAGGGCCCCCTTTGAGGATGTAAAGACATTGTTTCGGGTTGGTGATGAAGCCGCGACCTCCCACTTTGAGGGGACAGAGGACCGTTACCTTTCGTGCTTTCTGATGATAAGTGACGGCCTTCTCGGTGTTGATCTTCGCTTTCTCCACGTAGTCGGACGATTCCATAATGTTCTTTTCGATCCGGTTCACCATCTCTCCCTGAAAGAAAACTTCAGAATCAGACGACGCTGGTAACCCCCGGCAACGAAAGCCTTAAGCTATTTCACAGCCGCGCCGCGACCCTCCTCTCCTCACCTGAGCCTCCACCTCCATGGCCAGGTACTGGAACATGGAGTGCAGGTCTCTGATGCTCTGCTCCAGCTTCACGATCTCGTCGTGCCGCGACTCGATCTCGTTCAGAGCGGTCTTGGTGGCCTGGGCGTCGTTCAGGAGCTGAGGGTCACACGGAGGAGTCCATCAGCTGCTTTGTGATCAATAGACTGATCGGCCGGTCGCGTGGTCTCCTCTAAGAACTGTGGCGGAGGAAGTACGACACTTCCCTCTGACGGGTGGCGTGGTGTAAATCAAGATAATGGGCTCTGCTTACCAACTCTGTCGTCCAGTTTTTTTAAGCGATTAGAGAAACACAGCAGAGCCGTCACGCATCACAAAAACCACAACAAAGTGCAGCCGTGAGATTGCCGTGTTGTGGGCCGTTACCTACATCGCCGTGACGACGGTTTTTTCCCTCCTCCTTCACGTACTCACGTTTTGGGTGAAAACATTTGTCTGGCCACTCTCCAGCATCGTGTCCAGCTCCTCTTCAGTCACGTTGCACCCAGCTGGAAAGAAGTACGTCATATCGGAGTTATGGATGCTAACCTGATCCCTTTTCCCCCTCCTAAATCGTCATGAATTCTCCCAACCATCTTTCATTGACGTTCACCAATTATCAACATAAAAAGGTGATTCATTCAGTTTTAAATAATAGCTTTAAACTAATAGTTGCAGCTCTACTACTATAAAAACTCAACTTTGACCCTCCAGTTTAACGGCCATTGGCAGTATTTAAACATTTCATTCCTGGTTTATAACATATTATAATGTAGTTGCTTTCTAGCATATTTTTAGAATTATTACAGTGCTTTAAACGTGGTTTTTTTTAAAGTGAAGCGCGTTTAGTAGAAAGGGGCATGTGGAAGCGGTCACGAGGCTCTGAGGAGGAAGTGATTCGCTCAGCAGGGGAGGAGGAGGACCTGAAGCCTCGTCCTTCTACTCACTGATTTTCAGCTGCCTCTGTATCCTCTCCACGTTGCGGTCCCGGTACTGGGACTGTATGGTGCTGCAGTGACCCATCAGCTCCACAAACTCCTTCGACAGGACGCCGTGCTGCAGGGACGGGACGTTTAGCTCACTTTGCGTAATAAATCGACGGAATAAAACTGGCTTCACGCAGCTCGGTTTGATTTTCACAAACGGTCTGACGAGGGGGGGATTTAAAATCCAGTGAATAAGTGATGTCTGACCTGGGTCCGCTGCATCCGGGTGTTTATGGGGACGTATTTGTCGTCCTCGTCTCCCTTCTTCAGTTCAATACCTGTGGAAAGATGAAAGCTACGTGAGGCTCACGTACACAAAACCCCAAATAAAGACGACCACCAATACTCACTCTTGAGCTTCCTCTGGATCTGACTCGCTAACGTTTTGATCTCCTCTCGGAGAGTCTGCAGCTCTTTCTTCATACCTGAGCATGGAGAACATCACAGAAGGGCAGCACACTCTTTATAGATGGGATGAATACTCAAGTCTCAACAACCGTACTCACTCTCGTCGGGCACCGGTACCCCGAGCACGGTCTTTTGTATGTTCTCCAGTTTTGACACCATCTGTTTGAGGTTCTGCAGACCCTCGTGGATTTCCTGTACCTGTATTTGTAGTTGATTTTTTAACAAGTTCATAAAAAGTTATTATATAAATAAAAAGTTTTTTTTTTGATCAAGTAAACAAAAAGGCCAAACATTCTCCGGTTACGGACAATTGGGAGGAAATTGCTGCTATTTGTCCATTTTGCCAGAAGACGCCAGTGGGACAAAACAAGCAAACTTGTGAAGTCATCGTTTATCGATTATCATAAAAGAGAAGTTACGAATTTTCACACTTGAGTGGACGGTTGAGAACCGCTTTGCTCTGAGGACACTGAGGTTAACAGAGATGTATAAAGTAATTAATTTAGATTAAATCCACATGACCATTTCCTCTATTTGAGGTTTTCCTCACTTTAACAATGTAAACAATAATAAAGTTCAACGTAAAAATAGCACTTATTTCCCTGCAAAATAAAGATGAGATCAAGTCACCCAAACAACACCATTATCAACATAGACGTCACCTTCTTGAAGAAGGCATCGTTCTCCTTGTCCTCTTTGGCCGAAGAGGTTCCCGGTTTGACCATAAGTGGTTTTGCCTCCTCGTCCTCGTCTGAATCCTCTGCCTTCTGCAAAGTCAAGACAATATAACGTTACACACACACATTCAAATGCTCCTGCAGCCCTTATCACCGGCCTGCCGTCTCCTTAAGGAAGACACGGCTGAAACGGAAGTGCAGAGAAGTGTCTCGCTAACGTTGTATGTATAAACTTTGTTGTTTTTAACCACGTTGAGTCGTTCACTTTCTTCGTCAAGGTTTGTCGCAGCCGAGCACTTAAAAGTTAGCGGCCACTGGTCGACATGCTGAACGAACTCTACTAGCTAAGTTAGCCGACTAGCGCGCTAATGCTAACTCCAGCCCGTTTTATGGTGAAACTCACGTTTCCTAATTCTTTAGTTCGGTCCCGCATCTTTTATTTTCCAAGGGAGGAGTATGGGAGGGGGAGAAGCAGCCGGTCCAGATGTGACAAAAAACTCGCGACCCTGCACGTGATTGCGGCGAGCGGTTCCTCAAAGCAGAGAAACGAATTTAAGAAAAGAAAATGTCATTCAACAAGAGAACTCCGGTCCCAACGCTTCTTCTTCTTCTTCGTCTGCTGCGCCCCAAACACGGAGCGCCGACTCGCTGGCGACATCTGTGGCAGCAGCGAGTAATGACACCTCAAAGATGTCTAATATAAGTATGGTTATTAACTTACGATACGGTTTTATTCAACACTTCATACACACAGTTTGTGTCACAATATGTACAGCACCAGTCAACAGTTTGGATACATATTCTCATTCAATCCAATGAGAACGTGACTTTGTAACTTTTGATTGGTACTGTATGTACATATCAACTTTCAAGTTAATGTGAAATACTTCATTTATTTCTCCCTATGAAGCCTGCAGGCACTTTCGGCCGCAGGCAGTGGTGTCATCACTGCTGCTCCTTCATCGGAAATACGTGGAAGCTACGCGGGAATTTCCTCTAATTGACCCTGACAGCCACAAGATGATGCTCTTTGCCTGCTTGAACTGAATCGTCGCACCAAACATCACGTCCAGTGAATCTAAGGTTCACACTTTATGTCTACGACATCGCTGTTCTCTTAAACTCTGTCATCAAGCCGGAGGCCGATGATGGAAAATCACACGAGCAATACGGATTTTATGGATAATGTCATGTCCTCATGACTATTTAGGTCTACTGACATTTGCTTTTCGTTGGCTAAAAATTGGCCTATTACATATAACTATTCTCAGTGTGGTTATTAAAGAATCAATCGCTTAAATCCTTATTGTCTTCCTGAAAAAAATCATTGTCGACTCGTGACCCCTTCAATAGGGAACAGCCTCAGTATTGAAAGTTATTCAATTAAAGCAACGTTTCTTCTTTGGATGCTTTGAAGGATTCGTATACTTCTTAAGGGGTAATAGTAAATATTTATTATTTCATTCTTACTATTTGATATACCTGCTACTTGAGTTGGGGCCACTTTAGGGGGCTCTGCTCTGACTGTAAAATGGAAAACATGCCGCCCTTAATCTGTAATTACATTGCATGGTTATTTTTTACCAACATTTAATAGATTTTATGTAAAGTAAAAAAACAACAACACAATAACAGGGCCTCACACATCTCACACATCGACAGAACATTTGAAATTCTGATATTAATTTGCCTTTTCCTCAATTCTTTTGTCGTAGTTCGAAAATAAATGGTACTCGAGATCACTAAAATATTTTAAAGTACTGCCTTTCTGACAAAAAGCATTAATAAAGGATATATATATATATTAAGCATTAATGACTGATATATATACATATATATTTTGATAACTATACATATATATACATCTTTTTTTTTTTTTTTAAATGTTGTGGGGGGAAAAAAAACCGTCTTTGTTCTTCTGGAATTGCCCAACGTCAGACATTAACAAAACTACGTTTCCCACAGTGCACCGGGGCAAGGGACGTCGTGTCGGGTGAGAGCTGTCAGTGTTCGTGGGAGAGGAGGAGTGGAAGGAATCGGTCCAGCATCTCTGGAGCGGCGGAGCGACGTGGAGGACGGAGACAGGCATCGGCTCAAAATATGAGGACATCTCCAGCTCAAAGCGTGGATGTTTAAGGAGGTGGAGGTTTAGAGACTGACCCTCCTCGGCGGCCGTAGACCAGCGCGCACATCTGACTTTTATTCTCCACATCGATGAGATATGCGGAGAGGCTCTACCGCCCGCTGGTAACGCAGAAAAACACAAGATGAAGAAGCAGTTCAACCGGATGAGACAGCTCGCCAACCAAACTGTGGGCAGGTAAGAGACCGCGTCCACCGCACGCGCGTCCGCATCGCACGATGTGGCGCATTTTTAACTTAATTGGCTGTGACTCGACACGGCGGCAACGCGGCAACGCGGCAGCCGACGGCGCTTCTTTTATTCATTTAATTTGGAGAACGCGTGAGCTGTCAGTGGAGGTCACAGTGGCGGTGTTGAGCGATGTGTGTGTGTGTGTGTGTGTGTGTGTGTGTCCGTGAGAGAATGGTCGAGCCCATCAGGGGAGGAGCGTGTCCGCACCGCGATGAGGAGGCAGCCGACGTGGTACCCGAGCAGCGGCGCTCCTCCGATGCGTTTGTTTTGTTCCTCTAATCAGGAAAGCGCGTCACTGTTTGACACGGAGTGTTTGATTCAGGTGCAGGGGATGAAATGTGGTAGGGAAAGAAGGCAGCCATCCCCATTCATCCCCTGGCGAGGCGTTCACAAAGGAAGTTACTCGTTGAGGATGTGTTTGTCTTGTGTATGGAAATAAAAGCATGAAGACGTTTTTGTCAAAAGGAATAACTTCAGGTGAAGGTGATTTTGTTACCTGCTTTATTTGAGTTGCTTGCCAGATTCCCTCTTTTAGAGCTTTAGAGATGTCGATAGGTGGACTGTGTATCCGGGACAGAGCCAAGCTAGCTGTTTAATGCTAAGCTAACTGTCCCCTTTCTCCAATTAAGCTTCATATTTAGCATCAATGCGTGAGAGTGGTGTCAATCTTCTCATATGACTTGCAGCAGGAAAAGTGCCGTTGGCAGATTATTGTATCGCAACAGCGTTATCAATTTAATGTAGATTTATTTCCAGAGGATTATGGCTTAGTCTTTGGTATTCGAGGACATGGATTCAAGACGAATCTGAGCTCCACGCGGTAATCTGTAAACATTTTAAAATGATTTCAGTTCAGTTAGTTTTAGCTGTAGAGGAAGCGTGGTCACAACCTCTCACAGAGAGGGAATGGAACATTATTCTCGGTTTCCAACTGGTTGCATTCAGATGACATGTATGACAGGGGATTTACATTATCTCTGCAGAATCTGTCTTAATGGAGGCATTGAAAAAGTTCATACAAAAGAGGACCAACAATGGAGCCCTGGTGAACTCCAGTAGATTATGATAAAATGAGTTAAAATGAATGCTCAAGGTTATAGATGTCATTTCTTCTATGTCCTTAATGGTATCTTAGTGTCTTTCTCTGATTTCCTGCACGCATGAATGTCAGTCAAAATAATATATTGCCACAGCTTTCGACTGATATTCAATATGTATCTGTAATAGATCAGATTGTCAGATTCAGGGTCGTTTGAGAATGCTACCTCGTAGTTTTATTCAGAAAGTCAAAGACCAGGTTCTCTTCAAATACTTAACCGTCTAAACACGGTGACACGTCACGTCTGATGAGTGTAGAAGTGATTAATCCCCGTAAATCCTGAGCACACGGAGTTGCAATCAGATATTATGCAAATGTGAGAATGCTTTAGATTAATGTGCTTAGGTTTATGTGATTTAGTTCTTATCAGTGTGTCCGTTCCCCTGAGTTTGTTAATCTCTCAGCTGGGACCTGAGGCACAGCAAATAAAACGGTCAAAACCTACATGACCCGTTTTGTCTCCCATAGTTTGAGAAAACAAGCTGGGCCTCTTTTGTTACATCGGGAAGTAACTTGTGTTGTTTCCTTTTGAGCCTGCAGGGCAATTTGTTTGTATGCAGGGAGGATTCGCATTTGAAGGTGCAGCCGTTTAGTGCTCAAATGGTGTCGTTAGGTCTTTGTCTCTCCTGCCATTTGTCAACTCCCCTCGGAAAGTCCACTTTGTGCGTCAACATGGCAACTTTGGCAATTAAGTATCAAGGAGTTGTTTAGTTTTTGCATAAAATCAAAACACAATCAGTGTTGATCTTCGAGGGGACCTGTCAGAACAGAGGACAGGTTGATTGGCAGCCTGAATAATTGGCTCCAGGTTGCCTGTAGAGCATCCATCGCCGAGGTGATTTAAGTGCACCACGACCGGGTTAGTTTTGCTCTGGTCGACGGTGGTAACCAACGACTGCGGCACGCCGGAAGGATTTTTGCAATGAGCCGTTGTGTGGCTCGCTCGGCCACACTCGGCCTGCTGATAGTAATCGATGAGAGAAGATATCGCTGCAAGCTAATTCCCAGCGGAGTGGACCTGGCGGAAGAATCAGAAATCCTTGAAGGACAATTACCTATTAGAATAAAAAAAAACTGTAATATATGAATGTAAAAATAACAAATTATGACTCAATGGCGTTGGAAGGGACATAAGCTGCACGTTAACAGATAAAACCAACCCGTTATTCGTGAGTACAAACATGAAATTGTGTTTTCTTTGTGTGTGTGTGTGTGTGTGTGTGTGCTTGTTCCGCTCATCTGAGCCGGTGCACCGTGGCCCAGCGAGGCGGAACATCCCAGTAATGAGTTCTAGCCTGTATCATAAGCAGAGAAACAGCTGGGCGATTAGTCATATTTAGACCGGCGAGAGTTGAACTGCTGCCATGCAGGTAACTGATGATATTCCTCCTGTGACCTCGGATGTCACCTGGTTCGTCCTGCAGGTTTCTCATGTGCCACAGATTTAAGAACAATGAACAACAAACCAAACAAGACAGTTAGTCGACCGGTTTGATAAGTATTTGGCGCTTTGTAGGAAGTATGAACAATAATCAGTTTGCTTCTTTTAGTGTGTTTTATATTGCAGTGATAATGTTTGTCAGAGCTATTATTTAGTTATTTATTCTTCAATATTATTGTTTGTTGACATAGTATTAAGATAGCTTTTGTATTTGGTTTAATCATTTTGTCACTAAGTATGTGTAGTTTTGGTTCATTGTTTTGGGTAATTGGACCACTAAATAATTGGGTAATACTGTGGGCACCTGGGGGTTATCTAAGTGCGTAGCCAGGTACAGGACCAGCATGCATCTGGGTGACATAGTTTCTTACCAGCGAGCCAGAGCACTGCATAGGAAGGCAGCCAAGCCAATTGTATGTGTTTGTTGAAATAAAATCTGAACAAAAGGAACCGATTGCCTGGACAATACGCTCTCCTGCTGCGTGACAAAAACAAACAGTAGGTGCAGCCGGTGACCTTTGATTTAAAGATTTGTAGGACAAATGGCCACTGCAACGTTAGTTAACTAGATGAAACCTGGCTATAAGGACAACAGGTGTCAGGGAGTCTCCGTCTGGTAACTCTTGGTATAATCCAAGATGGCGTTGGCAAAAACCTTAACTCGAGGCTTCAAAACATCAGTCCACAAACCAATGGGTGACGTCACCATGACTACGTGCACTTCTTATATACTGTCTATGGTATTGACTTTGTAAATTGTGTTTGAGAAAATGAAAGCGGCAAGTTCTCCTAAAACCACTTCAGAATATAACACAGGGAGATATCCTGCAGATCATTTCATAATAGGTTGCATAAAGAAATAGTCCTGATATGAGAAACGGCTCAACGTACGAGACGAAATCACATTATGGTACCATTCATCTGCCGATGCACACTTGGTTATTCTATGAATCCTCAAATATATATTGTGCAGTCAGAGTGGTTCCGAACTCAACCGCATTGTGTCCCCTCCATCAGGGGAGGTGATGGACATCCGTTCTCCTTTTCATTTTGGGCAGAGAATTGGATCCCGGCAAATGGAAATGTTTGCTTGAACATTTAAATGCTTTTTTCTCTTTCTATGCCTGTCTTTAACACAGGAGCAACATTTGGAGCTCGCAAAAGATGTCCGTCGGTCTTCGGCGTTTTTTTGTGGCGTAAAAACAAGACACAGGCCACATGAGCATCCTAAAACTAGCGATGCGTCTCCCTTCGCTCCGGTTCAGAATATAGGTCAAGAGAGGTTCAGACGCAGCTAGATTCATCTCTGGAAACAGTCGGCCTGCACCAATAATCCTGCGTAATGCTGCGTAAACTGTGCGCCTGAATGAAAATGTGTAACTGTGTGAGCACAGCAAGGTTACGGCTGAGGGTGGTGGTGGTGGTGGGAGAGGGGGGGGGGGTCGCACGGGCCTAATCCTCTTTTGGCTCCGTCACTTCTACTGCAGAGTATTTTTAAATCTTCTTCTCATTCACATATTTTCTTTCTATGTGTGTGTATTGGCGGTAAACAAAAATAGGCTTGTAATTGGACTTCTTGGTTCACGGAAGTCCCTTTAATAAAAAAACACGTTTCGTCCTGGAAAGCGGAAAATAACTGTTTGTCCCGCTTTGTCAACGCGAGCTGCAGAAACCGAAAGCGTGAGAGACATCTATTAACGAGTGGTTTGGAAAAATGGGTTTCTAATCTCCATCAACGGGGTGGGAAATTGTTTCATTTTGTCCGCGGACAAAAGTCAGTGTGCATTTTGCTCCAATTCAGCCACAAAAGCCATTATATCAGTTATCAACTGTCTGTCGGCTCCGGTGACAGAAGAGAGCTCATCGCCAGAACGACGGGCATGCTCTTCCATGGCTCCGTTATTTCGCTTCCTTTCGGTGTGGCCCAATCGTTGTTATCTGCAACCTAACAGGCAGGACGTGAATCAATTTTGTGTACGGGTGTGCGTGGATTCAGCCTCTGGTCCTCGTGGGTTCACATAGGTCCTCATCAGCCCTCATGTCTTCCTCCAGGCCGGAGGTCGCTGTTGTCGTGGCCCCGCTGACATCCCATCAGTGCTGCCCCTTCAGTGTTTTGCTCGGGAGGCGAGATTTGAGAATATAAATACTCCAGAAGCCCCCAAAAGGCTCCATGGGCTGCGTGGGGGGGGGGGGTGGTGGTGTTATAAATAATGTATAAACATTTATCTCCTCGACAGCCGGGTCGTTCGGCTGAAAGATAATGAACCCATTTGTCAAACACGCTGCTGTATGCGAGTGCTAATTCCAACAACATCCTCCGGATTTGATAATTGATTGGCCTCTATCTGGAGCATGATTAGTGCTCATAGCGAGGCCACATTAAATGCTGAATCCAGCGTGAACACT